ATTAGTCCAGTTAGTGTATGGTCTATGCTGGTCTTCATTAGTCCAGTCAGTGTATGGCCTATGCTGGTCTTCATTAGTCCAGTCAGTGTACGGCCTATGCTGGTCTCCATTAGTCCAGTTAGTGTATGGTCTATGCTGGTCTCCATTAGTCCAGTTAGTGTATGGTCTATGCTGGTCTTCATTAGTCCAGTTAGTGTATGGTCTATGCTGGTCTCCATTAGTCCAGTTAGTGTATGGTCTATGCTGGTCTCCATTAGTCCAGTTAGTGTATGGCCTATGCTGGTCTCCATTAGTCCAGTTAGTGTATGGTCTATGCTGGTCTCCATTAGTCCAGTTAGTGTATGGTCTATGCTGGTCTTCATTAGTCCAGTCAGGACATTAAACATATTTCATTCATTTGACATATAATCAATTTGGACATCTTTCTTAGGGGAACTGTGATGATGTTTCCTCTATAAACATTGTCCTGTTACAACCTATTAACCGATATGTGCCATTTTTTGGGAGAGAGAAATAGGGTTTAACGTCCAATTGACACAAACTAAGTCATTTTGGCATTAACATAATACAATTTTATTTCAATAATTCACATGCCTTGAAGGGGTCTTTAGCAGTGTGAGGAAACAGGGACACCCTACTCAAGTCATGTACAAGTCAGGGATGCAACCATGAAACTTGACATATTCACAGACCTTATGATATAAAGCACATGACCACCCAATTTAAAACCATAAACTACAGTTATAACCTGAGTGGTGACACTATACTCACACTTTTAGAAATACAAACATACGCCAGCAATGTAATATTAGAGAAATTCTACATCAACACATTGGCTAGCAATGTAATATTAGAGAAATTCTACATCAGCCGGGTTAATTAATACAAATATACGCTAGCAATGTAATATTAGAGAAATTCTACATCAGCCGGGTTAATTAATACAAATATACGCCAGCAATGTAATATTAGAGCAATTCTACATCAGCCGGGTTAATTAATACAAATATACGCCAGCAATGTAATATTAGAGAAATTCTACATCAGCCGGGTTAATTAATACAAATATACGCCAGCAATGTAATATTAGAGAAATTCTACATCAGCTGGGTTAATTAATACAAATATACACCAGTAATGTAATATTAGAGAAATTCTACATCAGCCGGGTTAATTAATACAAATATACACCAGTAATGTAATATTAGAGAAATTCTACATCGGTCGGGTTAATCAGCAATGTAATATGAGGGAAATTTTGCTCCGACAGCCACCTTTCAAAGAGGGAACATGAATTATTTTCAAAACTCACAGAACCTACATGTATTGCCAAATCATTGAATTTTTAATATATGTATATATGTATATATATGTATATATGTACCCATTATCAATATTCGTAAATGTTTACAATTCATCAAAATCAAATGAGAACGGGGAGAGAACTTACCATTTTCATCCAAAGCTAATAAACTGGCCCCCTTCATAATTAAATCCTGAACAACAGGTACCATACCATTTTTAGCTGCTATATGGAGAGGTCTGAAATATGACCACAGAATATTACAGAAATAATGGTAACTATTGGATCCAATATTAAAAATTCAATATATATCACAATAAATACTTATTGGGCCTCTAGTCATGATACAATATATAAGTTTTGACACAATAAACCACAAGAAAATGAATGGTCACTCTTTATTAAAGAGAGATGGGGTTTAACGTCCACTTAAAACAAACTAGGTCATTTCGGGGCTAACATGGATCAATTTTATTTCAATAATTTGGTTGCTCCTAGGTCTTTAGCTGTGGGAGAAAACCAAGGACCCAGAGAAAACCCACGAAGTTGGACAGGCGAATCTACTCCTTGTCAAATACAACCAGGGAATCGAAATCAAGCCAGTTGACTTAATGACAGACCTAATGGTACAACGCGCACATGCTCACCATTCGGCTACCCAACCCCCCACTCTTTATTAAAACCTTGTAATGTAAAAGTTGTACCATACAGCAAAAAATGTTTTAATACACAAGCTCCATAACTATAAAATAGTTTTAAAACTATAAATTAGTTTATCCTTTTAATTTACGCAATAGTCAATCTATTTTAAAGACATTTTTTGAAAACCCATTTATTTAATCATCATCATCACCTGCCACAGCTGAAGTGTTTCTGTATTAGTGGAGTTATATACAAAAGTTGCCAAAATTTACAAAGTAGCTTGTATAGGGGGCAATTCGCCAAGAACTCGCTGCAACAGACTGTTTCATTGGCTAATCCCTCCCATCAACCAGAATGCTGGTTATATAACAACTCTTCCCGATTCTAGTGTAGTAAAACAAACTTTTGAACTATAAAAAAACAGAACAAGATAGGATCTGTGTTTTAATCAGACTGACAACAACGCTGTATAGAAACAGCCGTCATGTAGCCAAATCCACTTCAGTAACCAATAACGAACCATAGAAGCAGTAGTAGACAATGTCTAAGTTTTTACTTACGTTTTAAGTTTACTATTTGGTATATTAACTATTTCACTCTCCGTTATTTTATCTAATATTAATAATGCTACATCTTCATTATTCTGAAAAATATCAAATAATATGGAATGAGGAATATCTTGTCAACACTGTGTTGTAAAATAAAAGATAGGTTTTCAGGCAACAAAACACATGCCCACAGCAACTAATCCTCAGGAAATAAAACGCTTGTAAGATTAAAAGGTAAGCTTTAAACTGGATACAAGTACAAATTTGGTGATATTGGGTCATTTTAGATGATTTTCAAACAAAGACTATATATCTCATGAATGTGAAAGAAATTATGGTAAAATACACAAGATTAAATGCTAGCCGGAATACAGTGATTGGATGGTTACTTTAGCCTTTAAAAGAAATTGCACACTGAAGGGAGAGAGAGAGAGAGAAATGGGGTTTAACGTCCACTTGACACAAACTAGGTCATTTCGGGACTAACATATGGTTTAATTTTATTTCAATAATTCGCTTGCGCGTAGGGGTCTTTAGCAGTGGGAGGAAATCGGAGGACCCAGAGAAAACCCACGAGGCTGGCACTGGGAAGGACCATCTGGGGTGATAAAAATATACAACCATATTTCAGTGTGGATATATAATTATTGATGCCTACATGAGTTCAGTGTTGAGTTAGCTAATTTTATGTTTCACAGTTGACAGAGATAACCAAGAATTAAAACTAAGCTTACATGAAGTAAATATTTAATCGTACAGTTCTTGTACAATCACTAATGAAAATAAAACAGATCAACCTGTGCTTGGCTTCTTCTGAATTATATGATATTTACGGCTAAATATACAAGAAGAAGAATGAAAGTGGATACTAAAGTGAAAGTAAGACTTACATTAAAACAAGCATGGTGTAAAGCTGTGTTGCCATCGGAATCAGATGATTTGATTTCAGATCCGTGTTCCAGTAACATTTCTATAATTAAATAAATAATACTTCTACAATTAAATAAACAATAAATAACAATTGAGACTCAAAATATGGATATTTTCTATGATTTTGGATCACATTTAAGAGTTCTAACTATTACAGGATCTTATCATTTTTTTGTACGATCTGAATGACTAGACACAGCTTTCGTGTATAGGAGACAGAAAATAACATTTTTAAACAACTAGAGAAATCCTAGCAGTACAGCAGGGGCAAATACACTTTTATTACCACAATTCGCCTAGTTTACAAAAGTTTGTCAAATTACATAATAAAGGAAAAAAAAAGATACTTTTAATGACATATATTTAATAATTGTAACGAACAAATGTAAAAACAAACATGCTTATATCAGAGCATAAACATAAATCTGAAAATATAGGTGAGTGGAAATAACTAACCTACAGCTGAGATATGACCATTTTCGGAGGCATACATAATGGCGGTTTTACCAAATTCGTCTGCTATATTAACATTAGCTTTATGATTTAGTAAAATTTGCATAGAATCGCCCTGATGAGAATATGCAGCTGCATGTAAAGGGGTCCTGAAAATATAACAATAACATTCTATTTATATAGCGTAATAAATTACTCAAGTTTTCTCTATTGAACTGAAACGTTTCTAGCTGAGCTTTAAATGTATTTAAGGAGAGCAATATTATGCCTTGTCTTCTGTATTGTGTATTAACATCGATTTTTCTTCTTTTTTTTTAATTTGAGTAAAGCCTGTATCATTACAGTGGATGCATACAGCTGGATACATTCCCCTGATTTGATATTTGTTTATTTCTTGTAATGTCTGTAGTTTGTCTTATCCACAGGTTTGTCTTGCATGTAGTGTGGTCCCTCCTGCACTAACTAGTAACATTTTTTTTTTTTTTTTTGCAAGAAACAGTTTCTCAGTACTATCAGATGCATAATGTTCTTTAACAGAAATGTCTTTAAAATGAATTATGGTTTCTTGTACAGTGCATGGTAGGAAAACTTTGCCCAGACAGCAGTGATTCAACATAGACTAGACTTCGAATCCAATCGCTACAGGGAAGGACCTTGGATTTTCGTTACATCTAGGCTTACATGCGGATCTAGGCTTACATGTGGCGCCACCCATGGCAAGTGACGACCAGGACTGACAAGCCTGAAGCTTCATCTTGATCAACACTAGGATTCAAACCCAGAAGTCTAATATCACAGACCCTTTAAGTCTGGAATTCTTTGCCATCAAAATATAAATAACTTACCGGCCCTTACTATCTGTTATATTAATTAATTTATCCCCTAGATTATCTAATAATAATTCGGTACATACATCATTACCATTTATCCTGAAAAACAAAATACAGAAATCAAATCGAGTTTAAAATCCTACTTTTCTGCTCCGGCTTGGTTAATGAAGATGGGCAGACACCATGCAATGTGCTATAGGTGAATTTTTTCTCGGACAGCTGTGCTATGGTCTACCCTTATATTGAATAGGGAGAGAAGTTTTACATGGACTAAGCCTGTTTCCCCAATTCCATTCAGACATCCTGAATAAAAATAGTCAATAAATAAATATAGAATTCCAACGTCAAGATTTCCTGTTATGTATATGCCATTGTGTACATGGGACCTCGGTTTTTCGTCCCATCCAAACAACTGTCCTCTGTCCCTTGCCAGGCCAATCGTCCAACAGCACTGACAAGAGGGAACAAAACTGGAACATTCAGATGAAATTTCTCAGCCAACACAGAGAGTGAACATGGGACATCCAGGTTGGCGAGTCAATGTCTTACTCACTGAGCCACCATGGTCCAGGAACAATTAGACCTTGTTCCTGGCCAAGCTCTCCGTCTTGCATCACTGACAAGTAAAATAAAGAATAAAATCAACTTACACAGAACAATGTAAAGATGAGAATTGTTTAGGTTCAGTACTTTTATAAACATCATGTTCTAATAATAACTCTACACAACTATCATGACCTAAAATATATAATACACAGAACACTTGATACCACATATAAACATAATCTAATAATAACTCTACACAACTATCATGACCTAAAATATATAATACACAGAACACCTGATAACACATACAGCTAATCTGTAAAGTAAATGTGGTTTAACATCTTGTAAAGACCTTATTTTGAGACTAACACATAGTGATTTATATTTAAATGAAAGGAGATGAAATGGGATTTAACGTCCTACTGTTCTGCTCCGAACTGGGCTAATGATGACGGTCATACGCCATACGAGGGAAATTTTGCCTGGACAGCGGCACTACAGCCTACTCTTGTATCAAATTCCAACTGTCAAGGGATCTTTTACGTGCACGCCAATGTGTACACCAGACTTCGGTTTTTCGTCCCATCTGAACAACTAGACAGCCGTCCTATATCACTGACAAGGGGGAACCACGCCGGAAAATCTGGATGAACTTTCACGACCAATGCAGGGATCGAACATCTGACCTCCAGGCCAGCGAGCCAGCGTCTTACCCACTTAGCAAGATTTATATTTAAAGGGGAGGGTTTAACGTCCACTTGACACAAACTACGTCATTTTGGGACTAACATATGGTTCAATTTTATTTCAATAATTTGATTGCGTGACGTAGGGGTCTTTAGCAGTGGGAGGAAATCGGAGGACATGGAGAAAACCAACAATGTTGGACAGGCTACCTTACTCCGTATTACGTACAACTGAGGAATCGAAAACACGCCAGTTGACTCAATGACAGACCTTATGATGCAACGGGCACGCGCAAACCATTAGGCCATTCAACCCCGCTGATACTAGAGAGAAGAGATTTAACATCCACCTAATAACTAACACAGATCATTAAGACGGAGATGTGATATCAAGCCCACACTTTCAATGACAGTAGACCTCCGCTTATACCCCCCAGATGAGTGTAAGAATATTTACCATTATAACAAGCAAAATGTAAAGGTGAAAATCCTTTAGCATCATCTAATCTTTCTGATGAACCCATCTAAAATATAAAACATAATAATAACAAGATTCAATCCTTCTATACCATAAACTAAGTCAAATTTGTTCCCATAAAAACACAAAAATGATTAAATCCGAGTTATTTCTAATTAGTAAAAGCTACGATTATAAAAGGTTTATTTGTGTACAAAGTTTCATAACAACATCTTCTGGAATATGCTGTGAAAACAAAAGCTATACAGAAGTAAAGATTCGGTGCATTTCAATATCGCATACATTACTTTCTTTGGACATGGTATTAGTTAAACAGAATACTACAGGTTTTTTTTCTCTAATTTTACTTAAATTATGTGATTACATATTTGACTTCAATAAATCATGATCAAATGCCAAAGAAATGTTGTAGAAGAAGTATATCACCGATCTGGATACTTACAAGAAGTAAAGAACCTAATAAACCAACATGACCACACATGGATGCCATATGAACCGGTGTACGACCTTTACCATCAGCCAAGGTCATATCAGCACCATGATGTAACAGAGCTTCAACACACTCTTCTTGACCATTAGCTGCCTGAAAAAAACATACAGATTAATCAATGAATATCATAACAAATTCATACAGGTGTTCAAATTAACTCTACAGATAGACAGCAGTTAAGTCATTTTTATTTGATAAGTAATGGGACCATGAAATCAATCCCCTGAACTGCTAAACTGACCAGAGGGGGGTAGTTGTAATAAGGGTTGCGATCTTCTCACAATTGATTCAGGGATTGTATGTGGTATGGGTAGTGTACCTTGTCTAACAGTGAGGATCACATCGGTTTACACCAAGAGCTAAAGAACCTCATTCCCAAATTCTGATGATAAATATGAACTTACTCCTCTGTGTAAAGCCGTCCTACTATCAATATCTCTAGCGTTAACTATAGCACCATTTCTAAACAGATATATCGTACAATCTACATGACCGTTGGCTACAGCTAACATCAGTGGTGTTCTGTTTAAATATCAATAATTATGTTATTACATATATACAAACAATAATATCCTATATACCATGAAATAGTAATATTAACCCCTTTAGCAGACGGGCAGATTGAAACAACTGCTTCCCCTAGCACCTCTTGCATCAGATATTAAATCATTTTCCTTTATCAAGCTGGTTTAACGCTTAAGTAACCCAGAGGTTTGAAGTCATAAAAACCACGTCATAGTGGCAATCTGTGATTAGGAGAAAATTTTTGTGTAGGCCTAGACAATATCATTTTATTATAATTTTTCAAGAAGAAACCGGACGATTTATAACTGTCAAAATGTCAAACAGGAAGTAAACAAACAAGTGAAAGTTGTCTGTTTAGCATTTTGCTAACCAGTTTTGTCGATAAAAGTCGCTGTGGGTACCCAACGGTAACAAAAGTCGACTTGGGTCAGCTAAGAGTTAACCCTTGCCTCACCCATGCATTCTGGTGTTGTAAATTAGTTAAGATAAAATCTTACCTATCATAAGCATCTGTACAATCAACTATGTTACTATCTTCACAAGTTTCTAACAGTAAATTTATACATTTAGTATTTCCATTTATTGCTAAAAAATACAAGGTATATCAATTATTAGATAACTTTAACTACAATTTGTCATTACAAACCAGATTTTATTACTGTATTATTAGAAAATACACTATGGTCAATCCTAATGTAACCTTTAGCAAACCTAAGTAAAGATAAAATATCCCTTTATTACAAGTCACATCATGGTCAATCTCCGCTTGCGAAATAAAATGAAATAGGGTTTTACATCCTACTGTTCTGCTCCGAACTGGGCTAATGAAGATGGGCATACACCATACAGTGTGCTATGAGGGAAATTTTGCCCAAACAGCAGAGCCACTGCCTACTCTTATATTGAATTCCAATTGCCAAGGGATCTTTTACGTGCACGTCAATGTGTACACAGGAACTTGGTTTATAGTCCTTCCGTCCTGCACCACTAACAAGGGGAAACTACGTCGGTAAAGCCCAATTAACGTTCTCCGCCAATGCGGGAATCGAACACGCAACCTACAGGCTAGCGAACCAGCGTCTTAAGCACCGTGGCCCCCTCCACTTGTGAAGACAAACAGCTCGAAAATAATTCTTACATATATCATCAAGACAAGAACATCAATATATATCCAGATCATTATATTTATGGATTAGTTTACTTAAATATACAAAAATCTGAATGTTTATCTTACCCGCTGCATGTAATGGTGTCCGTCTAGATATGTTGTCATGAACTAGTATTTTAGAACCATGCATTAATAACATTTCTACACAGTCTGTATTACCACTCCAACACGCTAAATCTAACATCGTTCGCCCTGTAAAAATAAATATATTATAACTTCAACATGCTAAATCTAACATTGTTCGCCCTGTAAAAATAAATATATTTTAACTCCTAAATCCAACACTTTTCGTCCTGTAATAATATTATAACTCCAACAATAATAATAATGACATAAATAATATAACTTTTTGGCAAATCAATTTAACTGACAAAAAGTTTTTTTTACAGAGATAAATAGAAAATATAGCAGGACAATGGGGGTCCTCACTAGAGATAAAGGGACATAATTTATAGGCGAGGCGGTCCCACGTGACCTCATTGTTTACCTTATAGCACAGTTTTCCTGTACATTCATTACGAACTTGTGTGTTGACAAACATTAGTGTTTGTCGTTAATATGGAATTTAATACCGATACGGTTCTCTTACCAGCGAGGACACCCATTCAAGTTGTAATCTTTTTGTCATTTACAGAATGCTAAATCTACTAGCAAGCGTTGCGTTTTGAACAACAAAACTTCTCTTGATTTTTTACAGCAGAAATGGGTTTTAAAGGAGCTAAATGGACACAAATAATATAAAAATGAAATATGAGTTATATAAACTGATTTACATTCTACTGTTTCTGTTTTTACTGTAATTTCTAATCAGTTGTGTTTGGCGAAATACGCGAAGAGTGCAAACTGAATGCCAGTTTTTGGCGTCTGGTTATTCCAGTCTACTTTGGTAGTCTTCCCTTGTGGGATATGTTTAGCATCGTTCATCCATCGCTTCATTACAAATGGCGCTTGAAAGCATTCTGGCATGCAATTCGTGTGACAAGTTTAACATTTTTAATGTATCTTAAATATTGGATACAAGAATCCCATCTTTTCACAGCATGATAACATCAATGTTGATTTAAACTGACCAATAAGTTGTGTTTACAATGTTGAAGACTGTGGATGAAACTGAGTTAAAGACTTAGCTACTTGAACATCTTTACACAGGTCATTTTGAGAGTAATATACTATTTTTGGGGTAGCAGTAAGGTGTGAAGGTAATTTTTTGAAGACAGCAGCATGGATTGTTTTACATTCACGGTCTATGTAAATAACGTGAGCAACAATGAGAGAAATGAAATGCGGTTTAACGTCCTACTGTTCTGCTCCTAACCTGGGCTAATGAAGACGGGCATACACCAAACAGTGTGGTATGAGGGAAATTTTGCCCGGGCAGCGGCGCTACGGCCTACTCTTATATCGAATTCCAACTGCCAAGGGATTTTTTACGTGCACGCCAATGTGTACACGGGACCTCGGTTTTTCGTCCCATCCAAACGACTAGACAGCTACAGCCTACTCTTATATCAAATTCCAACTACCAAGGGATCTTTTACGTGCACGCCAATGTGTACACGGGACCTCAGTTTTTCGTAGCATCCTAACGACTAGACAGCTGTCCTTGTCAGGCCCTCCATCCTGCATCACTGACAAGGGGAAACCACGCCGGAAAATCTGAATGAACTTTCTCGGCCAATGCAGGGTTCGAACACCCAACCTCGAGGCTAGCGAGCCAGCGTCTTACCCACTTAGCCACGTGATCCATCCAACAATGAGAGATTTATACAGAACTTGAAATGAAGTGTTGTATATTTTGTTACCTACCATTTATATCTTTAACATCAAGATTCATCATACTGTTCAACAAAACTCGGAGGGCGTCATTATGACCATTATACGCCTAAAATAACAATTCATAAATATCATTCAATGGTATGATGTATGAGGTAGGGTATGCTTAGTGTTTCTAGAACAAATGATACCACTTCTCACTTATTCTCAGGAAGTTTGATGAGCTCTGGAGAGAGAGAGAGAGAGAGAGAGGGTTTAATGTACATTCAACACAAACTAGGTCATTTTGGGACTAACATGGTTCAATTTAATTTCAATAATTCGCTTGAGTGTAGGGGTCTTTAGCAGTGGGAGGAAACCCGAGGACCTGGTCGATGAGCTGATGTTTGAATTATCATACTTTTGAAATAAAAAGAACTGCCTTTTAACATCTCAAACTAAAGACTTGGGCCATTTTGAGTTTTAAGTTTTCTATGATCATGTGTACAGTGTAAGGGAGAAGAATTTTGTAATATTGATGTAAAGTTTGGTAGCCCAAAGCATTGAGTGAAGCTTTGTCGAAAGCTTAAACGTAAGTTTTAAAGTATAAAATCGTGTATTACCGCTAAATGACCCGGGGAATATGGAGCACCACTTCTTAGTAGGTTTGTTGCTGAAAGATCTAAAAGCTGAAAAATAATTTAGCATAAATAAAATCATGAAAGAATGAGTTGAAAATTACGGTGGTCAAATATAAAATATCACGGTGAATTCCGTTATTAAATATTACAGTGAATTTCATTGAATATCAGAGTGAATTCTGTTCAATATTACAGTGAATTCTGTTCAATATTACAGTGAATTCCGTTCAATATTACAGTGAATTCCATTCAATATTACAGTGAATCCCGTTCAATATTACAGTGAAGTCAGTAAAATATTGATTACATACCATTTCTAAGGCAAGTTTATGGCCTTTTAAGGCAGCATAATGGACAGCGTTAAAACCATCATCATCCTTTATACCAGGCCGGGCATCATGACGTAACAATAATTCTACAACTCTATAAATATAAACAAAATATGATACTGACAGATGAAATAATAAAAAGACAAGTACACATCTATCAGTTGCTCTATCGTCAGTATGTAATGTTCCAAATCAATAAAAATACAATCAAGAAATACAGAAACCATATCTGCTAGTCTCGGTCACCCAGAACCTCCTAGTCTTCAACGTACGGAGGGTCTGGGACCTTTGTCAATATTTGACGAAAAGTTTCATTGCCCATGAGTAACCGGGAGTTGTTTTTTTTACGTAGTTGATTATCCAGTATCTTTGACCAAGTCCAGTAAGAGTTGCACCCCTTCCCACAATAAATCCCATAATTCTTGCATTATTATAAACAAACATGAATTGTGACGACGAATTAGGATTCATTAAAAAAACAAAGATATGGCCCATGAAGAGAGAAATTTAACAAAAAAAAATAATTAAGAGTGTTTGATATTGAAATAGCAATGGATTTTCTGAAATGGCATTCTTAAATTAAATTCAGGGGCATCGAAATCTTGTTTTAGGACTAGTTGTCTCACTTAAGACTTTGTTAATGATAATTTAAATAGAAGACTGGATAATCTAGCCAATGACCTATTATTCTCAAATGTTGACAACGCATCTAGACTAATAGTCGTAGAGTATTTTTCTGGATGATAGAGACTACAGTTCTTCCAGTCTCAGCAACAGATATGATAGAAGGGTTCCATAACAGAATTTTCAACTGTTCTCACTATCCCAACAAGATGGTTAAACTCCCAAATCACACAACAATTTATTAATTAATCTGGACGAGTATTTACCTGGCATCTGAATCCGCTGGTGCAGCATAATGTAATGGTGTACAACCTCTACTATCAGTCATATTAACAGTACTACCAGCATTGAGCAATAATAACACACATTGTTGATGTACATTAGCCGAAGCATAGTGAAGTGGACTTCTACAAAAACACAAACAAAAAAAACTTTTCAAGTCAACTATTCATTTTCAGACCTGGTTCATCTCTGATATATCTCAGTGATAACACATCTTACTGTCATTTGTTTGGGGTTTGGTGGCTACATCAGGGCTGTCTGAAGGCTAAAATTAGGTGTATGAAGGCAACATGAGCTGCAGAATAGCATAGGCTAGGTGCCATTCAACTACAACTTCTAGTTTCGGAGTTATATTACTTCCAGTTTCATGAGACTTCTATAAGGAAGAATGCATAATGCAAAATTAGAACTGGCAGTTCTCACTATATTAGTTAAAAACTAGATAATGTAAAGGGCATATGCTGAAAATTTCAGTCAAATTCCTCCACTCTGAACCAAGATATTAGCAACTGAATTTTAGGCCTAGATTCGATCATCATTACTAAAGTCAGTATGATAAAAAAAACAATCTCGATTTTCCATTTTTGGATTTAATCATCAATGAGCATTGAGCAGCAAATCAGATTCCAATCCAGTGAAAATCTGACACATAAGATGGCATCGTGGGTTGATTAAGCTCTTTTCATGTTAATAAATGCCTAATTAATAGTTTATATAACATTTCAAGCCTAAAGAAAGACCTGCAATAAGTAGATTTAGCTCTTGCATAATGTATATTTAATGAAGTGAGATTTAAACATGGAATAACATACTATTATGGGATAGAATTTACTAACCTTCCATTAGCATCTTGTATATTGACGTCACCTCCTTCATGTAAAACATACTCGACACAATCAGCTTTACTGTAAAATAATATATCATATATACTATAAAATAATATATCACCGTCTACTGCAATATAATATAATATAATATATCATACATAATGTTATAAGCTAGGAATTATTCTGTAAATCTGACCTTCGTCTTTTTGCCTTGAGAAATTTCAACACTTTATTGTATTGTAACTTAAAATAAAGTTATATCTCACCCACTACAAGCGGCCCCATGTAAACAACTTCTTCCAACATCATCTTGAGCGTTAATATTTAATTCAGGTAAAACCATACGAAACTTTCTAACACAATCTACGTAACCATTTAATGCTGCTACATGTATAGGCAACATACCATTGTGTCCTCGTCTGTAATAAATATTATTGTCAAGTGTCATACAGGATGCCATGTATGTTTATAAAAGATGTAGCATAACTTCTCTGCTATGCATGTTTATAAAAGATGTAGCATAACTTCTCTACAATGAGGGGGTTTGGATGGCCAAATGGTTAACGTGTGTGCGTTGTATCATAAGGTCCATCATTGAGTCAACTGACGTTGTTTCGATTCCTCGATTGTACGTGACAAGAAGTAGTGTCGACTGATTCATGGGTTTTTGCCGGGTAATCCCACTGCTAAAGACACTTACGCGCAAGCGATTTATTGAAATAAAATTGAACCATGCCTGTCCCAATATGACCTAGTTTGTCTCAAGTGGACATTAAACATCATTTTTCTGTCTTTGCAATGGTAACATTATCTATGCAGCAGAGGGTCTTGAACGTGCTGTCATCTGAAAACAAAGGACATAGATGTCTTTTGTTTAATTCAAACAGATTATATTGCCAACTTTATCCATTTGACAGATATCACACAGGACCGTGATTGAAGCCTGTACAATCTGAAACCTCAACACAATTTCCTTATCAGCCCCAAAGTGTCACTGCCAAAAAATGCCAAATGGGTTGACACATCCTGTGAATCCAGTAAGAGTCTGTGCTGACCGTCTACGACTACCCTGTGAAGATGGTGACAACATGTAATAATGTCTGTATCAAGTCCTATAAGAATCTGAGACATTAACATCAATCTGAAAATGATGAGATTCTGACCAACTTAATTTGATGAAAACAGAGATATTGTGTTTAAAATTAGGTCCACTCATAACAAACAAGGCCATTTCAGGACTAACACATAGTAAATTCTATTTCAATAATTTGCTTATGCATAGGGGTCTTTTGCAGTGTTAAGAAACTGGAGGACCTGGAGAAAACCCACCAGGTTTGGATGATGTAAAATGATGTAAAAGACAAACGTACCTCATTGGATCAGCACCATGTTCTAACAGACTGTTTATTAATAACTCATGACCGTATCTGGCTGCTATATGTAGCGCTGTATTACCCATTTTATCACATGCATCTATTTCAGCACCTAAAAACATCATTATATAAAAACACATGCTCATTAAACTGTGCGAATTTATCGACATCTTCTCTATATTTCAAATTTAAGGTCCACGGATTGTGCCAATTTTGAGATTTAATAGACTTCGCTAAAATTCTGAAGTCAAGTTTGAATTCTTTTAGCCAGTCATAATTAAAATTTGATTCACATTATTGGTAACAATGTTATCCGTTTTGTTGTCTTGAATATTTTAAAGTATGTAATAATGAAGAATCCCAGAGGCTTCAACCATTACAAGCTCATTTTTTCCATTTAAGTGTGTGGCTTCATGGAAACAATCATTAATATTAATAAATAATATATACAACTTTACCACTGATTCAAATAGCAAATTTTTAGATCACGGACAGCCAGATGCTTTGTCTTTGACATTTCTTGGGGTATTCAGCATCTTTTTCATGTGAGAAATTTGGTCTTGGAATTTAGAAAATTTGACAAAGAACAAATGGGCATAATTTTTTTTTAAAGAATAAATAAAATAATTAATAACTATCGCATAATTACAGATCAAGTTATTGAAGTCAGATGTGCATCTAATAACCTCATATTCTTACCCAGGTGTACCCTGTCTGTGAGACAGAAAAACCCTAATCTAAAACGATCAGCAACAGGGGTTAATTTACTACACTAACCCTTATCATTTCTATTTAGATGTGGTTGAGGCAATTTGATCCCTCATATTGAAATGTTACTGTTCATTACTATACTACATTTGTGATATTTACGCTTTCAGTAATTAAAATCAAAAGATCATTGATTTAACAAATGCAAGGGTTGGGTTATTGGAAATATGTATTTGGAAGATGAATCAATCTAATGACCACGTTCGGCTTAATAGTACCATAAGAATGATACAAGAACAAAAAGACTCAATCATCAACATCCTGCGCCTTTGTATACCAAAAACAATGTCAAATTTGTTTCCATGGAAACCAAAAGTCGATTAAATCCTAGAAATTTCTAATCAGTGAAAAGCGCAAAACTCTGATGTTTGTACAAGGACCCATAAAGATAATATGTTGATGGACTCGTACAGATATTATATTGAACAATTTATGGGATATGCTTCATGAGTGAAACAAAACCTCCCTTAATGTCCTTATGTGCAGGATAAAATAAAAGTAAGATACAGTTTTAAATGATATAGATGATATATATATATATGTATATATCTCACCATGCTCAAGTAATGTTTGGGCTCTAGTAAATCTACCATGCAGAGAGGTTAAATGTAACGGAGTTCGGCCATCTTCACACTGGAAACAAAATACAATTACAATCAAACAACATGCAACAAATTCCATTAATGTTAGACCTAATATTTTGTCTTCTATTGACAAGCTGTTAATAATTAGGAAAGGCATAAAATATGGGGGCATTGAAGACCTTTCCAGGTTGATAAAAAAAAGATTATTTGATCTGACGGATTTGACTTACAAAACCCACCATAGTCTTATGGTTTTGTGCCATGGTCCATTAGTTTTACTTTTATCAATCTATTTCAACTCTTATCTAGTAGGATGTTTAACCCTACTTGATTCATATCAACTATATCTTATTATTATTCTATTTCAACAGATGTTAAACCTACTTGATTCATATCAACTACATCTTATTATTATTCTAACTACCGCTATACCTTATTTCATTATTCATTTATTCTAACTATATTTTAAGTTTAAAATGCCCAGACCTTAATTGTTTTAAATGAAATATTAAATTATTATTTAATATCTTTATACATAATTTCTAATTCCTACTATATTTGATGTAAATATCTTTAATAATAGAGTTGATTGATAATCAGACCTGGGCTATTTTCTACATTTTTAAGGATATAAAGTTGGTGTGAAGTATAGTCGAATCAAAGTATTTTCTACATTTTACAGGGTATACGTTAGTGTGAAGTATAGTTGAATCATAATATTTTCTACATTTTACAGGGTATACGTTAGTGTGAAGTATAGTTGAATCAAAGTATTTTCTACATTTTACAGGGTATACGTTAGTGTGAAGTATAGTTGAATCATAGTATTTTCCGACATTCATCCATAGATAAGTTGAAGCTATAAGATAAAGTTTTCAACACCATGGTCATCTAGTATCGAGTGGCAGTAGTGTTATCAAAATCTATTTCTCTATTTTGAAATGAAAAATAATTATTTGCTGAATGCAAGACGCGTAACTATACATGTCGCCAAGTATAAGTAATTTAAGACAATGGGAAAACACTGAAAATATGGCTTGACGTGCGAGTAATATTTAGCGGACAATGGAGAAAACGTTTATTCTGGACATCAATTTCTTGACTTGTACCCATTATAAATTGATGTGGAGCATAAAACAAGGTTTTGACTTAGGCAGAGAAAAACACTGAAGTATACCTCGAAAATTACGTTAACATGCGACAATAAAATTCTAGGGAGTTAAGATTAAGATAAGGTATCAATATTTTAATATTAAATCACACAATAAAGGGGTTTTCAATCAGTAAGATGCATTTAATAAGTTATAATCGTATTATATTATTATATAATATAAACAAGGGCAATAACTCTTAATGCTGAAATAAACGTCAAGGATTAAACAATGATCATGCTCACTCCTTATCATCCTGTCTTGTCTCAACGTAGAATTTTTATTTACGATCAAATTTTATTATAAGTGAAAACATCCAAATATAGTTACCATCTGAAAAAAACACAGATCTTAATTTCGCTCTGTTTATTTTAAACTTTCGATAACCTCAACTCCTTATTGATCTAACTGGTTTACAAGATTGATGGCATGAGAAAGACAAAACTAACATTTGACTGAATGATATAAACTATTTATAGTAAACTTTTGTTTTATTCTCTGTACTACTCTATAGAATCACCCATAATTCAGTGTACACCTAGCCTAAATCTTGACTAAACAGACAATTTCATTGGTTAATATCTCATATCAAAGGGAACACAGGTTACTTAAAAATACTTTCAGATCCTATTATAAAAACTAAAATATCCAAATTTGAATTTAGAAAATGAAATGAAAGAAGATCTGTGTTTTAATCAGACTGATGTAGTCCATGTCCAAATAACTGGTAAAGGTGACAAATTTCACCTCAATATTTTTAAAATTTCATTTGGTGCAAATTATACATTTTTAACAATTTTCCCTTAGACCAACAAAGACCTGTTGAGATAATGATTCTAATTTACAATAAAACTTTAGATTGAGAGATATTGATATTCTAAAGACAAGACACATTGATACAATTCTTACATTGATACATTCTGAAAGAAAAACAACCATCGTTAGCATGGTGACTCTGGGAGGCCATCATGAACCCATTACTTGTGGTCAGATCTAATGATGATTCAACTATTTGAATATTCTTGGTGATCATTCAAACAGCAGTTAATACTCAATTCAAATGTTCAATTTGCCAAAGTTTTGAATCTTCGAATATTCTCTAATATTAACTGAGTATTTATAAAATGGATATATAGAAAAACGAATATTAGGACGATTAGGCACCCAAGAGTCGCTTTGTCAGCCAGAGGCGATGTATTTTCAATATTGACAGACATAAGGCTATCTAAAATAAATTCTATGTTTCTCAAGACACCATCGCTCCTCTTCAGAAGTTCCTATATCCTCACAACAAATGAGAACAGTCTAAGAAACATAAAATATATTTTAGACGGCCTAGTTATATTAATTCACACTCCATGCTTCAATCTCTACAAGATTCATGACTTACTCTTTTTTTTCTTACGATTACAAACATCATTTCTCATATTACACTGAAATTTGGATTCATTCATTAATAAAACCTTTACCTCATCCAAGGTACAAACAACCAGTTATTTTAAAAATATTACTAAAGTCTTTGATCATCATGTGAGTGATTTGAATCTCTTGTAAACTACAATCTCTGAAAGGATTATCAGTCTAACCAGGGTTCTGTTCAGTATTTATGAAGATGAATTGAGAGTAGACAGTATATGATGTGCAGATGAAAAATTTACTCTAATTGGACTCTCGACGAAGAAAAACTTTCCTGTTAGCTTCAAATAATTTGTGAATGGTAGATTTCCTCTCCGATATAAACTTACCTGTATTTTTGTGTTCCCCCCTTCCGTGACGAGAATTTCCAGACAGATTGCTCCATGAGTTGATGCCGCAGCGTAATGAATAGGTGTCTGAAATAGAATGAAGGCTGAGAGTTACAAATAGATCTAAAATCTGGACTCAACAATAGATCTTCAATACATTGAAACATGAGGGTTTTACATCCTAGTGTTTTACATCAACTCCACTAATCGAGCTAGGAGAGAAATTCTGTCCGTATTTTTGTGTTTTCACATAGTCTTTATCGAATTCTGACTATCAAGGGCTCTTTTACGTTTAAGCCAACGAGTGGACCCTGTTTTGCCTCCTATCTAAGTGACCTGGGGCCTGTTTCACAAAATTTTAACTAAGATAAAATCCAAATTTTAGTAATTTGATTGGATAATATTTGAATGATTTTAGTGCTTAACCAAGTATCTACTAAAATTTGGATTTTATCTTTAGTTAAGATTTCGAGAAACAGGGCCCAGGTTTTTAAGCTAGCGCTATACCCACAGAGTTATCATTGATTGCAACTGGTAAAATAAGTTAAAACTAGACTTACCAAACCTTTATAATTAACAGCATTTACGCTGGCATCATACTGTAACAATTTATTTACAACTAAATCTTGTCCGTTTAGACAAGCAACATGTAGAGCTGTATTGCCGTAAGAATCAATAGCATCGGCCTCAACTCCCAACTCTAACAATAAACAAACAACTGAGACTTGACCACTAGCAGAAGCAGCATGGAGAGGTGTGTATGACTGAAAAATTCACAAAAACAATTAAACAATGGGGGAAGATATTGCTGCTTGATTATCAGTCTTGTTCCGAATTGCAATCAAATAACATGGAAATCAGACTTGTCACAGTTCTGTCTGTCCTGAAAACAGATGTGGTGCGAGTAGAATAGTGATGTCATCAAAATTATCAACAACCTGGCTAATGAAGATGGAAATATGCAATAAAAGTGTGTTATGAGAAAATTTTGTCGGAGAGCTGCATTTCTGCAAACTCCTCATTAAATTTCAACTGTAAAGGGTTCTTTCATGTGCACGCCAATGTGTAAATGGACCCCAATTTTTAATTTCATCCAAGCAACTAGAAGCCTAGCCTTTTGTTCTGCACCAATGACAAGAGGAATTGGAATGAAATAGGGTTTAAGGCCCTACTGTTCTGCTCTGACTGAGCTAATGAAGACCAGCAAAAGCCATACAGTGTTCTATGAGAGAAATCTTCCCCAGACACAGTGCTACGGCCTACTCTTATAATGAATTCCAACTGCCAAGGGATCTTTTACATGCACAAAATGTGTACACGAGACCTCAGTTTTTCGATCCATTTAAACAACCATACATTGTTCCTTGCAAGACCCACTGTTTGTGTACAACTGACCAGAGGGAACCATGATGGAAAATCCTTTTAAACTCTCTCGGGCAACGCAGGGATCGAACATGGGACCTCCAGGTCTTGCTCACCTAGCCACCATGGCTCCTGAGGGATGGAAACACCAGGCTGGAAATACGAGAAGTGGTATCAGGCATTCTAGAAAGAATAATCGTAAGATTCTATTTGTTACCTTTTTATCTCTACAGTTTAATTCTGCTCCGTTTTCTACTAAAACCCGGACAACATCTTCATGGCCCATATAAGCCGCCCAATGAATAGCTCTTCTGTCTTTCTTATCGAAGGCATTGATTGTAGCTCCATTAGTTAATAACAACTCCACCATCTAGAATATATCAACAAATCATTTAAAGATCCATTATGTAAGATTTAGATAGGAACTGACAGTTCTCGCTATAATTAAATTAATCACAATGATCGGATGGTCTAGAGAGTTGATTATGGGCTTGTCATGTGAATAAATGTCTATTTAATAATTTACATAACATTTGAGACAAAATGAAAGACCTGCAATAGGCAACTTTAGCTCAAACTACCGTAAATGTATTTTTAACCAAAAGGTAGGTTGCCTGGCAACAAAAACATTCTGAGCAGCAGTCAAGTCATCCAAGGTATTGAACTTTACAAAAGCACTAGCTTCTTAAACATACATTATGCAAGAGCTAAATCTGTCTATTGCAAGTCTTTATTTAGGCTTCAGATGTTATAGAAATTATTAATTAGACCTTTATTTACATGACAAGCTCAAAATCAGCTCTGTAGATCCTCGGATGACTTGTTACAGCTTGGATTTAAACAGTCGTTCATTTAAAATCAAATCAAGAAATGGCCTGACCAAGCCAACGTTTACTGTTAGTCACCGACGTCAATACTGGAAACCGATGATGAAAGGCCTACCAAGCGAGGGTACCATAGCCCTTGAGAATGTTACTTGATAATTGAGAATATGTGGGTGGAGTTATCGTCTGTCAATCAAACGATCGACAATTCTCGCAGATGGTGCGGACACAGTTGATGCCTATTTCTAGTCCAAACTTCCAACAGTCACAACTCCATTCATAATAAAGTAATTTTGAATATTTTCTTTTTATCATCTATTTTTGAATTATTATAGCAAGAATGGCCAACTCTTTATTAAACTCTTAACTAATGTATCTTTAAGGGTGTTTAATATGGAAAAAATCTACCTTAACATAGATATTTAACAAAAAATCTACCTTAACATAGATATTTAACAAAAAACTAATGCAGCCTAAGGAAAAATTCTCACTGTCCTACCAAATAGCCCTCCAATTGATTATAGAGGGGATATGCTACCAAATAACTCTCCAAAAGATTCTAGAGGGGATATGCTCTTGTACGTACTGTGATGCTTAGTGATTTTTTGTACGATCTACTCAATTATTATCCAGTAAAATTTCAACTGGAATAGGCTGCATGCAATCTGATTAAAACACAGATCCTATTTCCTTTTTTACAGTTCAAAATTTTGTTTTACTTGTCTTTAGTACACTAAGATCTGGAAGAGTTCTTATATGACCAACATTCTGGATGATGCGAGAGATTAGCCAATGAAACGTTCTGTTAAAACGAGTTTTGGGCGCAAGGTGCACAGAACTGTGGGTAACCCACTAGAAACATCAACGCCGATTGGTTAATCAAATGTCATGACGTTATGGGGTCAAAAGCCAGTCATATGACCCCTGGCGCGACATTCCACTACAACCGGTCATATCTTCATGTAGTAGAGGCCATCAAAGTATTAAAAAAAATGCAACGAAATATAGATCTGTATTCTAATCAGATTGATGCTGCTTAGTAAATAAAGTTTTTATAAAAGAGAGAGAAATGGTGTTTAATATCCACTCGGGACTAAAGTTTTTATAAAGAAAAATTAGAATCACAAGTAAAACTGTAGTATAATAGAAAAGATCTGAAACTTAAGGACATTTTTGTCAGACATATTCTAAAACAATATCGACAGACGACAGTTAGACTTCATTTTCATCTAACTTTAAATAGTTTTACCTCTTTATGACCATTAAAAGCTGCGTGATGTAGACTTGTTCGACCAGCTCTATCAGACACGTTGATATTGGTCATCATAGGAATAATAAATTCTGCACATTTTACAGCTGAATTAGCGGCTGCCACATGTAATGGTGTCTGCCAGTTTTTATCCCTGGCGTTGACGTCTGCATTATGACGTAACAATGTTTCTACTCCTTCCTGAATTCAAAAGGAACAGAAATTAATTTTTAACACAAAACTAAAGTTCTGCGGTCTAAACTTTAATGGATTGTTTTCATTCAGTGACATAATAAATTAAAGCCAATCTTTTAAATACTAAAACATGGATTTTTTTTTTTTTTTTAACTATTATAGCGAGAACTGTCAGCTCATTATCTAATCTTACCTAAGAACTTGTTTTAAAAAAAACATGAATTGGGATGGAGTTGAAAGTGGTAAATTTCATTTCTATAGTTAAGTGTGCAGTGTAAAGGTGAAAATTTTGCTTGGACAGGAGCATTCGCTGTCTACATGTACATGTACTAGTCTTTCAATTCCAACTGTCAAGGATTCTTTTTCATTAAAGACAATATGTGTATATGGAGACAGAGAGAAAAATGGAGTTTAACATCCACTCAACACAGAATGGGTAACTTTGGGACTAACATATGGTTCAATTTTACTTCAATAATTTGTTTTTAGCATATGGCCGAATCCCAAGAACCTGGAAAAGATCCAAAAGCTTGGACAAGCGACCATACTCCTTGTCAATCTAAACCATGCCACTCAACTCATTTTCCTTGTCAGTGAGAGAAATGGGGTTCAACGTCCGCTGGACACTTCGGGACTAACATATGGTTCAATTGTACTCCAATAATTTGCTTGCACATTGGGGTCTCTAGCAGTGGGAGGAAACCGGAGAAAACCCATGAGGTTAGACAGGCGACCCTACTCCTCGTCACGCATATGCAGGGAATCAAAACCATGCCAATTGACTCAATGACAGACATTTTGATCTATAGAACATGCGTTAAACCATTCGTCCCCTGAAAGGTATGGGAAAATCACGAATAGGAAAATGCTATCAAGCACTCCTGACCCTCCTTTATTTTGTAAAATCGATCGAGAGAGAGAAATGGGGTTTATCGTCGACTCGACACAAACTAGGACATTTCAGGACTAACATATGGTTTAATTTTATTTCAATAATTCGCTTGCGCATAGGGGTCTTTAGCAGTGGGAGGAAACCGGAGGACCCTATCAAGCACTCCTGACCCTCCTTTATTTTGTAAAATCGAGAGAGAGAGAGAGAGAGAGAGAGAGAGAAATGGGGTTTATGATCCACTCAACACAAACTAGGTCATTTCGGGACTAACATGGTTTAATTTTATTTCAATAATTCGCTTCCGCATAGGGGTCTTTAGCCGTGGGAGGAAACCGGAGGACCTGGAGAAAACCCATGAGGTTGGACAGGCGACCCTACTCCTTGTCACGTACAACCGGGGATTCGAAACCACGCCAGTCGACTCAATGACTTTATGATACAGCGCGCGCACGCTAACCATTCAGCCACCCAACCCCCCTTGTAAAATGAAGACTTGTACTTACATCAGATTTGGAACCACAACCACGATGTAACGGAGTCAGCCATTTATTATCTTTAGCGTTAACTCGAGCACCACTGAGTATCAATAGGTCAGATATTTCTGATTCACCACAGTACGCGGCTGCATGTAACGGGCTTCTCTTCTCTTCATCCTATGTACAAAAAAAAATACAAAAATTCAACATAACTTATTTATTTTTCCACGAGGCATATCAAACATGACCATAGGGGTGATAATATAAAGTTACATGATAATAAGAATGATCAGTCTCTTGAGGAAATGAAATGAAATGAAATGGGGTTTAACGTCCTACTGTTCTGCTCCTATACTGGGCTAATGAAGACGGGCATATGCCATACTGTGTTCTATGAGGGAAATTTTATTCCAATATATACACAGGACCTCGGTTTTTCCTCCCATCCGAACGACTAGACAGCTGTCCTTGTCAGGCCCTCCATCCTGCATCACTGACAAGGGGGAACCACGCCGGAAAATCTGGATGAACTTTCTCGGCCAATGCAGGGATCGAACACCCGACCTCCAGGCTAGCGAGCCAGCGTCATACCCACTTAGCCACGTGATCCCCAGTCTCTTGAGAATAACTAGGTTTATTTCCAATGGGATCCTTGTTGTTTTTGATGGGCCTCTTTTTACTCCAATAGAACCCAAGCCAGGAGATTATCTATCTAGATATTTTAGATTTATTCTCTATAAATGTAGTGATAAACAACCCGAAAAGAGAATGTTGCTACAATGTATGTTGTCTACGTAACTGCTCACTATTAATTCCTACGCTGGTTACCCAGGAATCTAGTGTAAAAGTCTTTCTCTTCCTTTCCCTTTTTGCCCCTTTTCCATGGTGAATTTTGTTCACTTTTTGGTGAAGAATCGAAGAAAAAGATTTGAATATACATTTTCTGCCAGGTTTCAGTGAATATTCATGATTTTGAGGCGAAGGATAAGAGAGTTAAGAGGTTGGGCAGACAGTTGCATGTTTACTTCCAATTCTATGCTACTTCCAGTTTGTGTATCTCAAGATTTTCATGGAAAACCTCATACACGTACATGCTTTTTGAGCATCTGTGGCAGAAAGCGTTCATCCCCACAAAATTTTGGAAAAAAATGAATCTTTAGAAGAAACGAGAATTAACATTATGTGGTCAATGAGGAAATTAATGGTGTACGGTGTCCAACTAGTATTCAACAATCCATTGTTACAAATACATGTACATTAACATGATTTATTGAGTAATAGGTAATTTTGATTCCAATTTAGTACGAGATCCAATTTGGAAAACCTGTAAGCTTATGGTAGACGATTTTGGGTGCATTGGGGCCGAACGGATTATCTTGATTCACATTTAGTATGAGATCCAATTTGGAAACCCTTTAAGCTTATGATAAGACAATTTTGGGTGCATTGAGGCCAAAGATCTATTACCTGATAGTTGACGTCTTCCTTTTTATACAATAACGCTCGCACTTCATCAGGATCACCGTGGAAACATGCCTGAACCAATGGAGGCTGAAAATAGTCATATATCATATGACAGTCTGCTTATAATTAATAATTCAAAAGCTAAATTTCAAGGGAGATTATCCATGCAACTTGTGTATTTTTTTTTAAAGAAGTACCAAGGGATCATCACAAAATTTCAACACGCGTCTAAACGAATAACCCCCGGACCTCTGTTGGTGAGTTGAACATAACTGTGGAGAGAAAATGATAAATGAAATGTTAATTCACAAATGAAAATATGTCAACATTTTCTTCTTACTCTGTCGGAACAGATGGCCAGGTGAGCCGAGATCAATCTATGGGTTATCCGTTTGAACGTAAGTGTTGAATTTTAGCGACTGTCTCTAATATCGTCTAAAACTACACAATGTACAATGTACAGGTATATTGTAAAAAAAAGGAATTAATCCAATTTTGAAGGAGGTTGACATAAATTCTAATGTACAGATAACCTTTTGTGAATTTGTTAATTTAATGATACAGAAATGCGTATTGAAAATGAAAGCGAATCAAGTGAAGTCTAATGTGCATCAAGTGAAGTCTAATGCAACTCAAGTGAAGTCTAATGCAACTCAAATGGAGTTTAACGTGACTCAAATGGAGTTTAATGTCTCGGTAACACAACTTTGGTCATTTTGAGTTCATTTCTATTTCTAAGCTGATGTGAGAATATTGCCCGGAGAGCAACGGACCAGCATACTTTTATTTCGTTTCCAACTTTCTTTTATGTGTACATCAATTTTGGACTTCAGTTTCCGTCGAATCTGAACTAGATACCCTTTTCGTTATCAGTCCCATACCCTGCACACCTTACAAGTGAAACTTGACTTGAAAAATCTGGAAGGTATTTTGCGATCCATGCTATACAAATAAAACAAATTGTTAATAAGTTTAAATTCTTTCAGCCATTACAAATCTAATCAAAATATGAGCTACATGTACATATTTCAACTTGGATTATCCAAAGCAAAAATAAAATTAATTGAAATTAACTAATATTTAATAGTAAATAAAGCAATAAGAGAATCTACAGATTTCTAGAATTCTGAAAATGGGCCCCCAAAAGATTTCAAATTTGGTCATTTGAATTTAAATCAACTATTTGAATAGCATCTAAATAATTGACGACTTAGAATATTTGAACAGTATTCCCGAAACATGTACATGTACGTAACAAAATATTTTTGATGACACAATTCCATCGGAGGTCTCTAATTTTTTTTATTTGTTGTGATTCGACTCCACAATTGTATCCCAAAAATAGAACCATACGTCCTTTAAGGTTGTAGAATGTACAGCAGACTAATCTCAAATTAATATAAGTGATAAATTCATTTTCCTTCAGTTGGTCAGTCCACTGAATCTAAAGACACGATTAAGAAAAGTTTGTTCTTGGACCGAGACGACAGCATGATACTACTTTTTGACCCAAATTAGACACAAAATTAAATTATTTTTTGATAATCAAATTTTCTGTAAATAACGTTTCGATTCGTACAAGGTACATGTTGGTTAGATATTGGTTAATCTGGAGCAGACCAATCACAATCTGCACATTATGGAAATAGTCCTCATAAATACTAAGTGGTAAAAACAACGGCAAATTAAACAGACACAAAAGTGTTGGTTTAATTCGATTGTAAATGTTTAGTCAGTCGATGGTGTGTTAATATAACTATTAAATACACAGATACATGTATTAAACTCTCATTTAACAGCTTTCAACTCAAGGAAATACTTAATTTACCCATAAATAATTGTATAGTAGTGGGTCACAGTGGGTGTAATTATGTGACTTGTTATAGTTAAATAATCTTGACCTTTGACCATCAATAAATCCTATTACACATTTACATTCTATACACAAAGAAAAAAGTTCAGCACCCTACATGTACATGTAGTGTATGTATTTTTCACAATGACTTGTCTTACAAGATTTGGCACTGAACCCCTGATAATATGACCGCAGAAAAACAAATGTCATTTGCAAGACTATATCTTTGACAATAAGAAAACATAAAGAGTTTATCCAATTTTTCTGATTTTATTCATCATTATGACAAAAATTCCAAGATGCTATATTTGAGCCAGAAAGTAGTCACAATAAGTATAAAGGTGCAGAGTCAGAAACACAATTCAACATCGTGATTGAAGATAAAAAATGTCATTTAGATTCCACAGATGACGTTGATGACACAAATCATCAATAGTGGGTTGGTAACCCTGCTGTGTTTTCTTATCGTCAAAGATCTATTCTTGCAAACCACATTTGTTTTTTCGAGATTATGTTTTCAAGGTTTTGCCAAAACTCTAAGACAAGTCATTGTGAAAAATACATAGGGTGCTTAACCATTTTATATACATATTAAGACTGTTACCTGGTATTTATACTGTTACATCTTACAACCCTTTCAAGATAAAGGCCTTCTTTATTTCATCATCTTAGGCCTATGATTTAATATTTATTTATTTATTTATACCCTAACCTCAACTACTTTAGTACTTTCATTCATATACATTCTTTTAATCAATTCTAAAATTGATTGGGATATTTTTATTCCCACTGTTTTACTGACCAATTAACAATAAACTGAATATTATTAATCAGTATTCTATAAATCTATTATATTGAAAAATACAATGTATATTATTCGAGTTTCAAACCCGAGGCCTGTCTCACTAATTCACCTAGGGGTGATGATTTTCCGTGATCGCGGAAAAAACGCGGAATTGTCCACTCAAAACGGAATTTGAAATCTCACACGGAAAAAGACGGAAAAGCCGATATTTGCTGATACTAAACACAAACTCAAAATAATTTTGCAGTTATCCAAGTATTTTATCTTTTTATTCATAAAAATCGGAAATATTGAATGATATCGCGTGGTTTTGTTACTGTCTATTTTAGTATTTCGCTACTTTCATTTCATCATTTAGGAATCATAATTTTAATCGAAACGAAAACCCGTCTTTCATGTATCCCATTATAAAATTACTCTGTAGTTTAACTTGAATTAAACATTGTAATGTATATATATGTCTTTAAAAAAACTTCTGTCACTTCATAAAAGTAAAAATCGTTTCATTTACTTCTTATTTTACTGCCGGGCTCGTGACTCGTGTTTATCCGCATTAACCACGTGACATCAGAAATATACCGTAGCCTTGTGAATCCAGCCCTTATTCTCGAAGAAACGGTAGTAACTACGAAGATGTCTGGATAAATCGCGACTACACCTAGCAGCTGAGAAACATGACTTCGTCTGCTAAAAAGATGAAACGAGCTCACAAGATGTAATTTTCTGTTATTTAATTCGGGAAACAGGTTTAAAGAATAACTAGTCATTGAACATTACAAGTCATTCACAATTCAACATTTGTTATCATTGGTTTAAAATGATCCGTTTTGTAATAAAAGGCATTTTAAGATGTTTTATTCATTTATTCATAAAATAACATTTTATCTCGAAAAAACGGAATATGGTCAGCTCTGAAACGGAAAATAACGGAATTAAAAATACTTAAAACGGAATTTGCTATTTTCTGAAACGGAAAATCATCACCCCTATTCACCCCTCATGCCGTCTTCATTAAAACAGTTTATGCAAAAAGTAGTCTAGTCTAAGACCTGGATCAAGCATTTTCATTTAAAGGATGTAAGTCGCTAATATTTGGGACCTAGAAATTGACACAAATGGGTCGCAACGCATACAATAATGTAATATGAATGTATATAAATTAATTTACATTCAATCGTTTCTTTTTTACTGTAATTTCTAATCAATTAGGTTCGGCGACATACGCCAGTATTCTCAATCGAAATTTCAATCCCTAGCTTCTGGTTATTCCAGTCTACGCCGATAGTATTTATTGGGCATGCTCTCCAGACAAGACTATAGCGTCACCGTTTGACAAGACTTGTGGAATATATCCCTAGCCTCGTTTTTCGAGTCCTTATTACAAATAGCTCTGAAACGCATTATGGTACGATTCACGTACCAATTGTAAAATGTTTATTTTGTCTTAAATATTGGATATCAGAAGCCCATCTTTTCCCGGTAAGATCACAACATCAATGTTGATTTAAACCGACAAATAATTTGTGTTTTCAATGTCGAAGATTTTGGATGATATTGAGTTAGAGACTTACATGTAGCTACTTTAAACACAGAAATTGAACTATTCTTACTATAGTTTACATGTACATATTTAGTTTTTAAGACAAACCATCACTGAGAAATATATGCTTTAACTTTTAATCAATGAATCATTGATTCAATATTTTATAATTATGTGTAAAATCTTTTGATAACTAGATATTGCCCAAAATATCCAGTTTAATGAGTTAGTGAGACAACCTATGGGTTTGAATTGAGAGAATTATTATATTGGTAATATTTAGCTTCTCAACATAAGTACAGAAGACTACATGCAGGGCAAAATCTAGAATTACTTTAAAACTCATTACCAAGGCTTTGAAACTATATTTTGGCTTCAAGAATTGTGGATATTTTACATATCTCAAAGCACTATAAAAAAAACATTGAGTGGTTTCAACCATTACTTTGATTTGTATACCTGGTATCGTCACAACATATTATACTATTAAAACTCAAATAGCAGGACTCCAGATTCACATTTTAAAGGTCATGTAAGTTTTCACTGTGATAATCTTTGTATTTAAAAAAATTTATAAATATATCATTCATTACCTGTAGTTACAGTAAATAGGTGTACAATTATTAATTACCTTTGCCCAAAGATGGAGTATTTCTGCATTATGCATAAGAAAGTTGTTAGAGCTACACCTACACCCCTTCAGCTAGAAACAGGAGATAACAAGGTGGAAAGGATGATGGATGATGGGTTATAATGATAATAATACATGTACATTGTTAAAATATGTTATTAAAAAATCAATGACAGATTCGTTAGAAATAATTAATACAAAATATTGTTTATTGATGAGGGGCGGGGGGGATTTCGTGCTAATCAAAGAGAGTTACAAGTTGCAGGTTCATCCCCAGTTAGATTTTTTAAATAAATGGAAACTAATATCTACAATGGCATGATGTATAGATAGAGAAAAACAAGATGTTTATCTAACTATTAATAGTAGCCTATAATAGGATCAAAAGACAAGCCTGAAAATAGGGCACCTGTCACAAATAAAGGTTTGTCAGGCACAATCCCTCTGGTGCCTATCATTATATCCAATAAATGTGTGTCATTATTGATATTCAGATATGTTATATCCATCCAGCACAAACATGTAGTCCAGACCTGTGTATACAGCAAGTAACTACATGTACATGTATCTTAAAACTATTACTATACTATAGCAGTACTTGGTAATAACGTCTACATATATGTCAATAGGAATTATACTAAATAAAAAAAATATTAGATTCCATGAAGTTTTGCCAACATCCATAATCACACACACACTGACTAACACCTTCATTAAAATAAAATCAGTCTAATAATATTGAACCTGGGAGCAGAGTAAATCATAGATGAAGGGAATAGATATGTACATGTACCACTTCAATATCTCTTTCTCATTTATAAATTTGAACTGTTTTAGCAAATCCCTATTAATTTTACACGCAAAAAGTAATTTCAAAATACTACATGTATTTACAGACTTCAAAATAGTGATAAAATAAAGATAATTCAAAAGGTTAGGAATTATTTTTCTACTTCCTTCATTTTTTTTTTTAACTTCTACGATTCCTTAAAATAGCTTTCAACAGTATCTCTGATGTCACAGATGAGATGCATGGACATATATGGAAATTGAAATTCTGTGCGCGGCGCAGATGCTCCAAAAAATACGCTTGACTGTCTTCATGAGTCATTAAGCTACAATAAGACTTTGACTTGATATCATTGTAATTTGTGTAAATCATGACTTAAGCTTACATTTGTATGAACTGAAATCAGTTTGCAGTTTTATGTTGCATAATTTTTTTCAGACAGGTCCACATATAAGAATCTTTTCTCCATTGATCCACAGACCTTTCAGCGATGCGCAAATTGAAATAGCATGTATCGTAATAAGGATCAGTTAAATAATCAAAGCCAGTTTAAAGAATTTGGAGAATAAGCTGAATTTAAATTTCCATATTGCACATGGTTGATGTTAGAATTTCTGGGATGTAGAAAGCAGGGGGTACATGTAGTTATAAAATCAAATCTTTGGCTTAAAGTTAAACGCCAAATGTTCTGACTATTTTCATGATAATAAAAATCTTATCTAGAATCCACATCCCCGAAATCAAAACTTGTAATGATGTGATATGCCAGAATGTCATTTCATAAAAATGAACTTTCACGTGTCGTCTGACAGGTGGGTTATCAATTTCTAACTTCAAACATCAAAAACAGAGATATAATATATTTCTAGATCTATTTGAGTTAGTGCTCGAAGATGTTAAAAGAAGTCAAGTCTAATTTTGACGATGTGATGATAGAATTAAAAGCGTTGAGTCAGGAGTCAAGTGTGGTGAGTTGGATCTATTTTTATTGCACGAAAACACCTGGTTGAATAGACCCCCTGAAACGAGCTATACATTCATATTCACCTGATCCTCCAATTGCTGTAGCATTAACCCTCCCAACTTCATTGAAATTTGTCGATCTTTCACGCTAACAATAAAGTTTTGTTCACATTTCGTTAGTTTTTGAAGACACGGGAAAACTTGTTACTCCTTTACCGCCATGACAGTATGCACGGGAAATGGTTGGTGTATTTATAGGACACAATTCCTACGCGGGTTACCCGTAGTGCAAGAGTTATTTATAGTCTTTCTCCCCCTTTCCCTCTTTTAGCATGGCGCATTTTGTTGACTTTTGGACGTAGAATCGAAGAAAAATGTTTGAATATACATTTTCTGTCAGGTTTTGGTGAATATTCCTGATTTTGAGGTGGAAGGATAACAGAGTTAAGAGGTTAGTTTCGTTGAAATGAAGGGCAGACAGTTGCATGTTTAATTATAGGCTACTTCCAGTTTGTGTATCTCAAGATTTCCACGGTGAACCTTATACACGTACGTGCTTTTGGGCTACAGAGGTTGGTACATGATGCTTAATCTGTGGTAGAAACCGTTCAAACCAACGAAAATTTTGGGAAAAGTTAGAGCCAGCCAAAGAGACGATAACAACGGGGAAATTAATGGTGTACTGTATCCTTATATCACGTGGTGGAAACTTACGGATTGACTACGATGTTTGAGCACCTTTTCTGATAAAAAAAAAAAAAACAACCCAAAAACCCCAAAGCATTCTTTGTATAAAATTTATTTATTTTAAAAAATTTCATTTTTCTAAATAACTTAAAAATCAACTGGAATGTCCCGAGTTCGAATCCCCTCCTGGACAAAGAATAATTTCGGGATTTGTGAAGGGTATGGCGCCCGTGGGCCTGACAATGAAGTAAGCCTATTGCCTAGTCGTTTGGATAGAACAAAAAACCCCCCAAAAAACAAACAAGTTGATGTACAAGAGATTCGGTTAAGAATTGGAGGAAACGCCTTTTTTTTTTTGGGGGGGGGGGGTATAAACTCCCCGTCACGTATTAACAAGCGTCGTGAAGCTTACCTCTTCTCATTTTACAGAGTTTGCATAGGTAGGCTACTAAAAGGTTTTGTATTGAAATGGGGTCCGTGCTGAGCTAACACAAAATAAAACAATTCAACATCGCCCTGCATATGGGGGTCCCGAAACGCTCGTAAATGGTATATTCCATAAATAGCTTGTGTTACGTGTTAGGCACTATCATTAATTAACTTTTAAAAAGTTATGGGTACTTTTTAACTACCATAATAATAATTAAAAAAGAGTTATGGGTTATTTATTAGCTACCATAATGATAATAATTAAAAACGAGTTATGGGTTATTTATAACTAGGGGACCACGTGGCTAAGTGGGTAAGGCGCTGGCTCGCTAGCCTGGAGGTCGGGTGTTCGATCCCTGCATTGGCCGAGAAAGTTCATCCAGATTTTTCCGGCGTGGTTCCCCCTTGTCAGTGATGCAGGACGGAGGGCCTGACAAGGACAGCTGTCTAGTCCTTCGGATGAGACGAAAAACCGAGGTCCCGTGTATACATTGGAATGCACGTAAAAGATCCCTTGGCAGTTGGAATTCGATATAAGAGTAGGCGATAGTGCCGCTGCCCGGGCAAAATTTCCCTCATAGCACACTGTATGGCGTATGCCCGTCTTCATTAGCCCAGGTTAGGAGCACTACCATAATAATAATTTTTAAAAAGTTATGAGTTGTTATTAACTACCACAAGAATAATTTTTAAGATTTATAGTTTTTATTAACTACCATAAGAATATTTTTTTTTTTTAAAAGTTATGGGCTATTCATACCATATACCATAAAAATTTATGGATTATTATTAACTACCATAAAAGAATTATGGGTTATTAACACCATAAAAATTGTAAGTTGTTATTAACTTAAAAAAAAAAACGGTTTAATAAATTAAATGACCCACCAGCTTCGTCCTGTATGGTTTCAGTATCTGGTACTACTATATGTGTGCAACCAAACTGTCAAATTCGTAACTAACATCGTCAAGTATAGGGCGCCAGTGTTCACCATGACTGAACATCTGTTCAATCGATCAGCTCCGGTTTCCGTTTCATGAGTAAGTTCCAAACTTCCGTCACATCAGCTCATTCTGTTGGAATAGTCGACGCGTTTATACAGGATTAGGTAACTTTTGTTATCTACGTGATAAACTTAACAAATAACTTACATCCTTATTGGTGCTATTCAGGTCAATAATGTGTGATATTATTAGATTAATCATTGTAAATGATGAACAGTTCACATTTCAATTAGTTGTTCCTGATTCATTGCCTGTACAATAAATTAATTTATATCACGATACTCAACTTTCTAATCGCATAGGCATAGTCCGTACATACATGATTTTAACTATGCAAATACATTCATTCTTGTACAAAATATCAATAATTCAAATCTAAAACCGACAATGCAATGAAATGAAATGGGGTTTAACGTCCTACTGTTCTGCTCCGAACTGGGCTAATGAAGACGGACATACGCCATACAGTGTGCTATGAGGGAAATTTTGCCCGGACAGCGGCACTACGGCCTACTCTTACATATATCGTATATCAAATTCCAACTGTCAAGGGATCTTTTATGTGCACGCCAATGTGTACACGGGATAAAACCGACAAAGTCAATGTGTTTTGACCACGTATTCATGAAGATTGTCATACTTTTGACAAGATGAACATCGATTTTAAAACTCTCGATTCAGAAATTTAATGGCGATTTGTAATGAAAGAGATTTATTATTTGTGTTCCACAGAAACTATATGTGAAGCCATTATTCAAAAATGAGTCTGTATTTTCGGTCTTCTGTTGGTTATCATTACCGATACTGTTACATAGAGAAACTTGTTCCTAGTCTTTGTAGTACCCCTTGAAATGATCAAAAAGTTATGTTTCCAAAATCATGGTAGTTTACCAGTCGAACGCCATAATCGATAAGTATCTGATCTACTTCGTTTTAATCCCAATCAGTATATAGTACAGATTGGGTTCGTTACGTGTCTACTTGCTGCTATGCATGTAATTCCTTTGTTTCTCCACCATCAGGCGATAATAGCCCTTACGAATTGGCGTTTGGGAAAGAAGCAAAGAAGTTATCTTCCCTAAATTGGCAATTCATATGATGAATATCTTAAAAAATCTCAAGAGAAAAGTTGATGAAATAACTAACACAGCATTAGCACTTCAAAACCAACAAGACTCGCCCCATGGCCTTTGTCTACATTTAAATAGAAAAGTAAGTTGACACTGGTTTGGCATTTAAGGAGAGTGTACATAACCGCGGTGGCTCAGTGCGTAAGGATTTCGCTCACTAAACAAGAGGTCCGGGTTTCGATCCTGGTGTTGTCAGGGAAAGTTCCCAAAGATTTTTCATCATGGTTTCCCCACACTGATCAGTAGTGAATTTTCGCTAGGCCTCTACAATCACTGATAAGGATGACATCGATACGACTTAATGGGTCCCAAATATTAACTTTTTTCTTCCGACAAATTAAATTCTAAAACATTTTTTCATTTATTAGAAAAATAAAAAAAGACGTTTGAATTATTTGTCGGTACAAATCATTTCCTATTTAGTGTAAATAGGTATTAAAATAAGTAAAATTCACCATTTAGCCCGAATCAGTAACGTCTTATGTAAACAATGCACGCACTATTGAGCCAATGATTGACGCCGCGTGATGTGACGTCACGTGTCGAAACAGTCTTCTGTTACAGAGATATTAAAAGATCTCTGAAACAGATTGTGGTTTCCCTTGTCAGTGGTGCAGAACATCCGGAGCACTTAGTCCCAAATAAGGTAAATATAACGATAAATTTTAATGTAGGAAAAATTGATAAATGTTTTGGAAGTTGTAAAATAAAATACCCATTACTTAAAGACGCATTATGTAAGAGCTAAATTTGCCTAATATGCAGATCTTTCGTTTGGCCTCAAGTGTCATATCAATTATTAATTCGATATTTATTTATAATACTATAGGGCCTATATACTGTAGAGGTTCTGTAAAAGATGTTCTGGTTAATGTATTGAAGTCGTTAGCTAGTACCAGTGACAACGAGAAATAGGTTAACAAGGATAAGTCCGGTAGTTTAAAATCGGGCAATGACACCATAGTCTGATAATCCAAATATGGTAATCCAATGCGTTAGAAACGTGGTTAGCCGCCCTCCTAGGTGCCCATATAAGTACACTGTGTTGAAATCCAGGGTAGCGTCTGTGCAGCTGACCAATCCGATAAAGGAAATACCTGGTCAATTTCCCTCTGCTTAATACATGACTCATGCATGTATCGACTTTATATAAGAAAGGGCGAGTTTAATTTCACTTCAGACATATTGAAATGAAATGAAATGAAATGAAATGGGGTTTAACGTCGTACTGTTTTGCTCCGAACTGGGCTAATGAAGACGGGCATACGCCATACAGTGTGCTATGAGGGAAATTTTGCCCGGACAGCGGCACTACGGCCTACTCTTATATCGAATTCCAACTGTCAAGGGATCTTTTACGTGCACGCCAATGTGTACACGGGACCTCGGTTTTTCGTCTCATCCGAATGACTAGACAGCTGTCCTTGTCAGGCCCTCAGTCCTGCATCACTGACAAGGGGAAACCACGCCCAGACATATTGAGTGGCTGGGAAAGAGATATTATAGAGCGGTCCGGTCCGAAAGAGGAACGCCAAAGCCACAGCCGCCTCGGCGGAGAGGCTGGGATAGAGACAAAATGTAGTATTTAAACCGTATGGTCCGAGTTAGAAAGGATGCTAAACTCAGACCGTGGATATTTTAATAACTCCTAAAGTACTATCATACATATTGTAGTTTCCTATATTTAACCTTTGTAGTTTACTGTATTTGATATATACTTAGTAACAACATAAACAGTGTTTCAGGACTTAATTATTGATCATTGGAAATAGTTATCACAACGTTAAGTCGAATAAAGCCCTATATAGTGTTACCCAAGTATCACGGGCCGTATCACAAAGTGGAATTTATTCATAACGACACCGTAGTGTCACATATTCACATGCCAACCCCATAATTAACGCTCTAAGCCATCGGATGCTTTTGATTTTCAACGGATTGAAACACGATTGCTTATTAGTGATTTTTTTAAAAAAAAATGGATAATCGAAACTCGTAACAATGGTAGCAATGGCAATCGAGACTAAAGTGTTCTTCCAAGGACCATAACTTCACCCAAAATGAAATAATAATTTCAATATATTCCTTTTTCGTTATCTATTTTTTAACTATTATACGAGAACTTTCAGCTCTTTATCTAAATCTAACATAATGTATCATTATAGTTGCTGATCTTCATTTGCATTTTTCAAGACTAAAATCTACCCAAATTGATAAAACAAAAATTATAAACGGTTGCTAATCTCCTTGTTTGCATTTAATCGGATTAAAAAGAAGTCAGTGGCACTATTTTATTTATAACGCCTGCACAGGAAGCCGAATGTTGATAAATTTTCAGTTCATCATATCTTTGTAAACAGCGAAGAGAGCTGAAGAATTTGGGACTAACATTGGTTTTAGAGATTTACCTTTAGCAATAGTATAGTTGAAAATTGGTTCAATAATTCCTGAATAGTCGACCAGAGACTTTAAAATGAACAAACCAGATGTTACTACCAAATAGCATGCTATTTAAGCATAACCAGCGGTTGCCAGGCAAGATACGCCCATATTTTGCAAGAGATGATTAGAGAACGAGCTAAAAAAAAAAAAGCGATTTTTCGTACAATCAAGGGCCATAATCCAGGAAGTCATGGTCTGAAATGCACGAATATCACAAAGGGGCATAGATATTTGGGATATAAAGATAAATTTTACGTTTCGTCAAAATCGGATAAAAACTGTGACTTCTGGAGGGTCAACAACCTTGGTATTACATACTTTTACACTATTTGCGTACAAGGAGCGGCCATTTTGTCCGGTAGTTTGGGTCAGATTTGTACGAAATTCAAACTCAACCTCCACTGATGTCTAACGGTGATAAATATAAAAGTTGTTTTTTTTTAAAATTGAATACAAATTGTGACGTCTAGCGGGTCCACAAGCTAAAAATGCGATTTTTTTTAACAATCAGGGGCCATAATCCAGGACGTTACGATGGGATATGCGCGATTATCAAAAGGTACCAAGATCTTTGTGATATAAACATAAATGTAAAGTTTCATCAAAATCTGATCAAATTTGTGGCCTCTAGAGGGTCCACAACCTTGATATACCAGATTTTTACACTATTTGCGTACGGACGGCCTTTTTGTCTGGCAGTTTTGGTCCGAAATTCAAACTCAATCATCATTACGGTGTAGCGGTGATATATTCGAACGGTTTTCCATGTGTTATTTGATTATGTTTCAATTACTAAATGCCATTAAAAGAATAAATCCGACACCAGATGTTACTATGTATAATATTATTCTATTCAAAGAAACTTTAATTTCTAACAATATGTACTATTTCCTTGATAAAGAGTCGACAATCCTAATCGAAACGTCGCTCAATAATAACCAGTAACTTTATTCCACAGTATCGTGTCGTATGTATTTCCAGCTCAGTTATTAAATGCCATGGAAATATAAATATTTCATCTACAGGTCAATAACATACACAATATCAACAGCCTGTCAGGTACGTTACGCACCTGGAATACAATATAACGTCTGAGCGGAATGTCACAGATTTTATTGGTAACAGTGTATTTGATGAGACCAGGTATATAATAATATATGAATCGTGTTTTTTTAGTAGGCTACATCATCCAGGGCGAAACTATGTCCCGTTGGTTTTACAAATTCTCTGAAAAGTGTAAGTATTATGTTACTGAATGAATGCTTGGATTCGCGTTGATATCTAATTCAGTGTTTTTTGTTCAGTTTTCACACATTGTCTTTTAGTTTTTTAATTTCAGTTAAGCTTTGTATAGAAGCGCGCGTTTGCGAGCAAGAGAGAGAGAGAGAGAGAGAGAGAGGGGAGGGGCAACAATGGTGTATCTTTATTTCAGAGAAAACCCATCCACGAGTTTAGGCAGGCAGCCTTATTCCTTGACATGCATAAACCCGGGTTTTCGTGCCATCCGCACAAATAGGCACCGCTAGTTTGCAGGCCATTCGTTCTATAATACTTACAAGGGGGAAACTCAGTGTGAAAAATCCAAAGAAACTTTGTTGGCAAACACTGTGATTGAATCTGGGACCTGTACCTTACTCCCAGAGCCACTGTGGCTTCCATTTCCATCTCCATCAGACGACTGGTAGTTGGCATTTCCATGAAAACGAATTTACAGCCCTCGCGAAAAAGTACATACCACAGCTGGCTGAACAGTTCTAAGCCCGAAAAGGATAGATCAATTGGTTTGAAACAAACTTTTACCACCAACAAGTACAATCATTGAATGAATCATTGATATAAGAACTGCAACTATAGTGTTATTATTGTCTTCGTACCAGACCATCTTATGAACCTACCCATTGAAATCACCAGAGATAGACACAACTGGTTATAGGGCGGTGATCAAGTACATGTACCTGCAACTGAAAGGATTAACCCTAACACAAATACATGCCGACGTGGTCTCCACTTTATAGGATGATGCCCCTCTTGTTTCTACAGTAAAGAAGTGAACTGTGGATTTTAAGCATGGCAGAGAGTGATGATGATGACCCGCATCCTGGAAGGCCATCAACAGCAGCCATTCAAGAAAACATTACCCGGGTGCATGACATGGCGATGGCTGATCGGCGATTGACCACTCCACATTGCTAGTGTTGTGGGCATCTCTCATGAGAGGGTTGAGCACATTATTAACAACGAGTTAGGGATGACTCAAGGATCTTCATTGACTCCCCATTTAATCAAGAATAGATTCTAAACTCTTGTGTCTGCCATTTTTAAACGGTAAAGGGCCTCTTTGTAACCGATCTTTTATCACCATAATCCCCTTGACGTGTACTCCATTCTCAACTAGAACACCATCTACTCCAGTAGTTCCAAAATATAAACTTACATCTTTTGGATACAGATCGTTTGTTCACATTCTGTCTGTTCTGTGGAATGCACTACCCCTGAATATTCTAAATTAAAAACTCGTCTATTGTCGGCCCATTATGGCACCTAGACTTTGTAGCGCCCTGTGCATGTATACTAGCATGGAAATGTGCGCAGTATAAATGTACATATTATTACTATTATTATAAAAGGTACGTATGACATTTTCAGATAGTTGCTTGGGGCCAGAACGATGGGTTACTCATTATATACAGAGACGCAATGAAAAACGCAGCACTTTTTTAATGGATAACTGTAAATCTAATTTGAGATATATTTGTATATTTAATCTTTCAATTTCGAATGTAACACACAGGTCTAGAATGGGTCCAGGAGCTATCAAAGATGTGATTATTATCTCCAGTACAATTACGTTCCCTGTAAAGTTGTTAGTGCCTCCGCAGGTTGATGTTAATCTTCTTGTGTCGGTAAATATCCAGCCTACAATAATGCCAAATACAACATTTCTGTTGTGTTATGTCTCGCAAGCACGTCCGGCCTAACCAATGGCGCGTTTTCACCACATCTATGTGTATATTATTTGGGATTTCTCCTTTAAATATTTTCTTTTTTGGAACTAATGAGTTACATACGTTTCCTTTTATTTCCAGATGGCTTTTAAAACAAAGTTAACATTTGTACTATTAATTGTGTGCAGTCTGTTCATGTTCTACTTCTATTTATTATGCTCTACCAATGATTGTGAGCAATTCAAAATTACTGGTTTATCGAGTTGGGCGAATATCACAACCTCTATCAACGGATCACTAGAATCGTCAATGAGATTATCTGTTTCGAATTGGGGATCACGAAGCCCAGCTTCAAAAACCCAAGTAAAAAGAATACGTTGGGAAAACGCACCACCTTGGTTACCCGAAGACTTACAAGATGGCGCGGTATTTGCTAATTGTGAAATTAAATCGTGTGTTATTGTGAACGAGTTAGAAGCAGCCCATGGCGTGATCATTTATATGGTTAGTTATCAACGATTGCCTCCTTTTCCGCGTCCACCAGGACAGGTTTGGGTTCTGTTTGGGTTAGAATCACCTCCACATTCGAACTCTCAAGTTTTCAAACATCCAGTCTGGCAATCACAAATAAATTGGACAATGACATATCGCTTAGATTCCACAATTCCAATTCCATACGGACAGACATTGCATCGTCCGGTTCGTGAACAACCAGACTTAAAACAAATTCTCGTGAAAAAGACTAAATTGATAGCATGGGTTGTTAGTAACTGCGTGACTGAGAGTCAAAGACGAAAATATGTTCAACTTCTTCAAACGCATCTTCGTGAGCCAGTGGATATTTATGGACGATGTGGGACCTTAGATCCTGGTCCAGGAGAGGGCGTGTTCAACACTATTAGTGAAAAATACAAATTTTACTTGGCTTTCGAGAATTCCTTGTGTGTGGATTACGTTACAGAAAAATTTCACCAAAGACAAAATTTAAATTTGATCGTGATTGTCAGAGGCGGTGGGAATTATTCTCATTTCTACCCAAAGAAGTCTTTACTTGACACCAATGATTTCACCACGACCAAAGAATTGGCTGAATATATTCATTATTTAGACAGAAACAATACGGCATATTTGGAATATTTATCAAATAAAGCACCTTTCGTGGCTAAAGACTCAATCTATACGATGTCCAACGGTGTTTGTGAAATTTGCAAGCGACTACACGAACCGATAGTTCAAACTTGTTATAAAAACATCGGTAATTGGTGGTATCAAAATGCATGTCACGAGCCCAAAGATCTCCTATAGAATATTTATATTGTTTTGGTAAGTTTTTTCCACGCTTACACATTATTAATACTGTCGTAATCTGCCACTACCTTTCTGTCGATAATTTCGTGTGATCAACCTCGCGAGTTATCAGATATTATTTTTATACGTCAACATTTTCAACATGTTAGTCCACAATTTGTTTGTGGACATTTGTTGACACTCTGTAGGTCACAATTCTTATCCGATTTTGACGAAACTTGAAACATAGGTTTATCTTCAAAAGATCTCGATTCCTTTCGATACTGGCATATATCGGATCGAAACTTCATGGATTATGGCCCCTGATTGTACAAAAAATATCGTTTTTAGCTCGCAGACACTCTAGAGGTCACAATTTTCATCTGATTTTGATGAAATTTGAAATGCATGTTTATAACCCAACGATCTTTGTTCCTTTCGATATTTGCGCATATCGGATTGTAATTTCCTGAATTATGGCTCCTGATTGTACGGAAAATCCCGTTTTTAGCTTGTGGTCCCTCTAGAGGTCACAATTTATTATCCGATTTAAATAAACGTTCGAATATCACCGTTACACTCTAATGACGGTTGAATTAAAAAATCGGACCGAAACTGCCTGACAAAATGTCCGCTCCTTGTAAACAGATTATATAAAAGTATGTTATTCCAAGGTTGTGAACTCTCTAGAAGTCACAATTTTTATCCGATTTTGATGAAACTTAAAATATACCTTTATATCCCAAATATGCAAGTATTCGCGCAGTTCAGACCATAACTAACTCGATTATAGCCCCTGATTGTACGAAAAATCGCTCCTTTTTTTTAGCTTATTCTCTGTCCATCTCTTGCAAAATGTGGGCGTATCTTGCCTGGCAACTGCTGGTTAGAAATATGAAGGAATTTGGCCAGAAGTAAGAACTCTCTCATCTCTTGGGAAATGCGGACGTATCTTGCATGGCAAGCGCCTGTAACAGTATACAATGTACATGTACTTAAATTCCGAATCACTTTAAGATCATGGTAAATTGCCACCATGTTCTCCCAACATCTCGAATTGAAAAACTGATGTCAAGGTATTTAATAATTGAGCTGGAAATGCACAGGGCAATGTGAGGATATTTGTGCCAAGACAGCAATTTCTGACAGAGTTATGGCCCTCGATCACTTTGAAAAATCTTGTGGATGCTCTATAGACCACGAGTATTATCCGATTGACTTGCAATTGATACAAAGTGTTAAAGGTCTTAAGACGGAGAAACCTATTGGATTTCAATAATTTTCGATAAATACTGCCAAAGTTAATCCGCTTGTTCACGTTGTAAATTGTCCTATTGACTTTAAATTTATACACTGTATTTAAAGATACATTATGGGAGATTTTTTATAGAGAGTTGGCCATTCTTGCTATAACAGTTCAAAAGTAGATGATGAAAGAAGAATATATTGAAAATTTCAGTCAAATTACTTTATTCTGAACATAGTTATCATCGTTGTAATATTTGCCTAGAAATGGTAGTGAAATGTGCCATCACCTTGGTCGATCGTTTGATTGACAGGCGTTAACTCCACCTACATATCTCGATTATCAAGTAAAGTTTTCAATGGCATGCGGAAACGCTCTACAGCGGCCTCGCTAAGTACACTCTATCATTTAGCCTCGATCTAACTGACGTATTCTCATCAGGGTGCGCCATATTTCAATTTATCAATGAGTGAAATCCTATTTAAATCCGAGCTGTAGCCATACGTGGGTCTACAGAGTTGATTTTGGGCTTGTTGTTTAAATAAAGATCTAATTTATAATTTCTATAACATCTGACGCCTAAATTAAGACTTGCAATAATCAGATTTTGCTCTTGCATAATGTATGTTTAAGGTCTTGGCACAAAGAATCCGCGATTTTTGATAACCTGAACAGCTAGGCCTACATTTATACAATGTTTAAATAGTCAATCTCAATTATATTTTGGTGAATAAAACTGTTTAATTTTGTGTTAAAAGCCCTTAAAATCCCCTACCTTAGGAATGAGCAACTAACTTAATATACGTGATACGTTTACAAACAGCTTAACCCCGCCAGTCTTCATCTGGAAATGGAGCCTGGCGGCCCAAGCTGTATTATACGGTAAAACCTGCTGGAGGAAAGGCCTCCATTATGGGCGGATATTGCCTTAGTTACATCATCTGGCCTCGAATGTTATATAAATTTTTAATTAGACAATTATTATTATTCACATGATCAACTCTCTAGTTCATCGGATGGCCGCGATTTTCAATTGGATTGAAGAATGATCGATATTTATTAATTTAATTTAAATATGCATAATCGAGACTCTGTTTATATTCGTAACAATGGTACTATATTGTCAAAACTTCAAAGCTTGATAACTTCGCTCAGAAACAAATAATTTGATGGAATTTTCAGTATATTTATTTTTCATTATCTATCTTTAAATTATTATAGCAAGAACTATCATCTCTTTAACTAAATCTTACAAATTGTATCTTTAACTTAAAGTCAAATAGGGCCTGACAAGGACAGCTGTCTAATCCTTCGGATGAGACGAAAAACCGAGGTCCCGCGTATACATTGGAATGCACGTATAAGATCCATTGGCAGTTGGAATTCGATAATTCGATATAAGAGTAGGCGATAGTGCCGCTGCCCGGGCAAAATTTCCCTCATAGCACACTATGGCGTATGCCCCCTTCATTAGCCCAGTATAGGAGCAGGACAGTAGGACGTTAAACCCCATTTCATTTCATTTAAAGTCAAATAAATTTCCCCTTTAATTTTTACAAATACCAAACAGAAAGCGATTATTCACTGCTGATCAGTTTGATGTAATATGTAATTGCATAATATGTAATTTCAAAAATGTTAGTCTTATTCGTTTTACTCTCAAATATTTTCTTTTGCGCGGGAAGCTGCATCTTCAGGAAGGGGGGTGGGGGTGTTATATTTTTTTTGCTATCCGTGAATATAATAAACAGTACCATTTATTTGTAGTTCTGAGAGTGGCATCTGATAAATAATCAGTAGGCTATATTAGTTTAAATATGTGTAGAATGACGTTGGAGTAGTAAGTATGATGTTTCTGATTATACTAATTATACTCACTTCGAATAAAGGATATTACTTTAAATGATATTGTTTGCTTTAGTGATTTTTACACCAATCGCCCCAAAATACTGTTTCAACAGTAATTATATCTTTTAAAAACTCAATCAATCATTTTACAACATGTACACAAATTTACATTTTTCAATTCAAATGTGTTCATGAAAACAGCAGACATACAATAGTCCAACGTATGCCACTGTCAAAAAAGAATCGAATAGGATTTTAGAAATAGCCACATTGATTAACCATATCATAGTGCTTAAAGAAATTAGATTCTTGTATTTTCCATTGCCGTTTTGGTAACATATTATGTCTTTTATATGATAGTCAAATCCATCCTGTTTTATATTAATTACGAGAACCGTGTCTCAATCCCGACAAGTCATGATCTAGCTTGAGTGTACATCGGCGCGCCCCTGTGCCCCCACCGTCCAGCATTATTTTTCGTTTTTTATTTGGGGGTGGGGGGGGCGTAGGTGGGCGGGGTATGTTATACTTATAACGTCGAGCTAAATTAAACCCGGAAATAGTTCTGATTAGTGGAGGTACATTTGTTTGCAGCTATTGACCAATCAGCACGATCAGATATAATCAGTAAAAATTCCCCAATTTGTGGAGAATTGGAAAGACTATATCTGCTGAACAATTTGCGTGATAAGCTACAATCCGTAGTTATTTTCTTATCCGTCAGATATTACGTTATTCTTGAATATCCAGACGTTATGTCTCGGTTGTCACAAATGAATAGTCAAAATTTTCATATTGTTGAGGTTTGTAGAGAAATACGAAAAGCTGTTTGACAAGAAAGATAATATTCGTATTCTGTATTTGGCAGTCAGGTATAACTGTTTGTAGCGAACTCACATAACCCATTGTCTGTTTTTGTCATTATAGATTGGTGATATTGTAATTCATTTTACTGAGACAAACGGTAAAACATTTGGATTCGTTAATCTGAACTTTGGAACTGTTTTTTCCCTAGTTTGCTCTGAACGCAGGTCTCATTGCACTCGGCCTGTGCTATTCCCCCAGCACTGGCAGAAGTGGAAAACATCATTCATAGATCTCCAAAGTCAAAGCCTACAATAAAACACACCAGCTACATGAATGTGAGAGAGAGAGAAATGGGGATTAACGTCCACTCCACTGACAAACCAGGTCATTTTGACTAATATATGGTTCAATTTTATTTCAATAATTCGCTTGCGCGTAGGGGCCTTTACTTTAGCAATGGGAGGAAACTAGAGGACCCGAAGAAAACCAATGAGGTTGAACAAGAGACCCTATTCCTTGTCACGTACAACCAGGGAATCGAAACCATGCCAGTTGACTTAATGACAGGCCATCCAACCCCACCCCCTACATGAATGTAGCTAAACACCTTGAGATACGGATGTGTTTGTTTTCAGCTAGGATTGGATGTCTTTGATGGTTTCACCTGTCAAACATAATTTCTTTATTAAAGGAGCTAAATCGCTAACATTTGGGACCTAGAAATTGACAAAAGTGGGTCGCAACGCATATAATACTGTAATACGAATGTATACAAACTGATTTACATTCAATGGTTTCCGTTTTTACTCCAATTTCAAATCAGTTATGTTCGGCGGAATAAGCTAGCAGTCTCAATCGAGTGCAAATTTCTAGCGTCTGGTTATTCCAGTCTACATACGCCGTTTGATTTAGTGCACCATGTGTCTAGCCTCGTCCCTCAAGTCTCTTGTTACAACTGGGGCTGAAGCGCATTATGGTACACGATTCGTGTACCAATGGTAAAAAATTTTTTTTGTCTTAAATATTGGATATCAAAAGCCCATCTTTTTCCGGTAAGATCACAACATCAATGTTAATTTAATTTGAAAAATAAATCATGTTTTCATGTTGAAGATTTTGGATGATATTGAGTTAGAGACTTAGCTACTTTAATGGATGTACCATCTTAAAAATAAGATGATTTTATAGGCTACTTTTGTGACTAATTAAACATACCCGGATGTAACTTTTACTTAACTACAAATATTGTTAGTTAACGGAAGTTAATCAAGCGTTGTTTTTAACCGACTTGGAACAGCCTTTGAAAGCCTGTGTCATTCTTAATTACGATGCATCATGCCAACCCTTTCTGATTACTTGCGATTTTCCCTTTGTTGAAGTCGCACATTTTGATTAGATGTTGTACACAACATCTATTTAGCCCCTCCTTCATTACTTCAAAAACCTCCTCCATTTTAAAATGTTGGGCTTTTCTCTGAATATAACAAAAATATTATAAATATGGCCTTTATTTTATTCTCGGACTGTGTTTGATGGTTTTAAACATATGAGTGATTTTGACAGATGAGAGAGAGACAAATTAAAATCAAAAAGAATAATATGAACTTTCTTGCTTTCAAAGGATTCAATTAAATTGTCTGTTTCTTTGATTTTTCTGATAGAAACATTTAAATATTTCAGATTTTATCATGCATAGAGCTGGTTTATTGATCCTGACTCAACCATTGGCTAAATCCCGACAACAGATTCCCATCATTTTAGACGAAATATCACAGCTGATAAAGGAGACACTTTACGTCCACATACAGCCAAATACCAATAAAATAAACCCTGTTGATTGGACGATAGCTAAGGTACCGTGTACGCAGGAAATTCAGAATTACATCCGCGAGTTCTATTCAAGTAGTGCTTCACGTTGTATGACTTTAGATGTAAGAATATTACTCAGTCATATTACGAACGCAGAAATCAGCGTTAAAACTTTAATGCACAAAATAAACAAAGGCTATGATACAGTGCTGTTTGATAACTATGGTCAAAATTCCAAAAACTTGTCACAAGAAATCTTAGGAAAGATTAAAGAAATTTATCCCGTAGAAACCAAAGACATTCCTGTTCTTCAGTTAAAAAATCTGGAATCAGTTACTCTTAACGAAAGTCTGTCAGAAAAAGATAGTTTGGTGAAGACATACGATTTTGTGGCTTTAGGCGGAACATTTGATCGTCTGCACTCGGGACATAAAGCTTTATTAAATGAAGGATGTTTGCTGTGTAATAAAAAGTTGACTGTTGGCGTAACTGAGAATGAAATGAATCAGAGTTAGTTTTTTTTAAATTCTTATTTCTATAATACATGTCAGTTGTTCAGGATGGAAGGCTTGGCAAGGAAAAACCTCTAGTTGTTTGGATGGGATGTAAAACTGAGGTCCCCTGTATACATCATTGACATCATATTAAAGATCCCTTGGCAGTTAAAACCAAATAATATTGTATAGTACAGTTATTGTTTTCTATGGTCATGTGCGAAGAAGGAGAATTTTGCCAAATACTGGTTTTTCTAAACACTTTTCATTGGGTCATGGGGATCACGTGGCTAAGTGGGTCATACGCTGGCTCGCGGCGTGGTTTCCCCTTGTCAGTGATGCAGGACGGAGGGCCTGACAAGGACAGTTTTCTAGTCCTTCGGATGAGACGAAAAACATTGGAATGCACGTAAAAGATCCCCTGGCAGTTGGAATTCGATATAAGAGTAGGCGATAGTGCCGCTGCCCGGGCAAAATTTCCCTCATAGCAGTATGGCGTATGCCCGTCTTCATTAGCCCAACATAGGAGCAGAACAGTAGGACGTTAAACCCCATTTCATTTCATTTTCATTTCATTTCATTGGGTCACATCTATCAAGGGTTCTTTTACGTGCATGCAAATATGTCAGTACAGTACATTTTGACATTTTCGATGGGGAGACTGACTTCCTGGTATTCCATCCCAACATTCCCAGTCAATACAAGTAGACATTTTGAATGTGGAGACAGACTTACTTGTCATGTCATCCTCCCTCCAGGCCTGTCATGTCATCATGTCATGTCATCATCATCAAAATCACATCACTTGAATCAATGACAGACCTTACAATCTAAAGTGGATACATTTGGCCATTCGGCCACCACCAACCAACAAGTAGACATTTTGTAACTGTACAAGTATATAAGGTAGTAGCCTCTTTTACCCAGGTTAACACGGTTATGGTCTGGATGAAAGAGTCTAATAAGGTAGAGAGCTGACATTTTCAGATCATGTCTGCTGACAGCAGTACACCATGATGGCAATTTATGGAAGTCATTTGAATGGATTTATATTTTCGTTGTTTAATTAAACATGGACAGAACCTATTAATTTGCATTTCAGAGAAAGTTTTAAGGGAGTTGATTGAACCTATAGAAGATAGAAAGACGGCAGTTAAACACTTTATTAACGATATACGACCTCAGATCGAGGCCAATGTAGTAGGAATAACCGACCTGTATGGACCAACAATAACTGATCCATCTCTACAACTTATTGTATTGAGCGAGGAAACGGTGAAAGGTGGAATGCTGATTAACGAGGAACGAAAGAAAAAGGTAATTTGTTAGAAATTATTTATAAATGCTAAATATAGTAACAATATGTATTAACAGATTATCTTACTATTTATCTAGAGGTGTTGGGTGACCGAATGGTCTATTGCGTGCATTTTAGATCAAGAGGTCTGTCATTGAGTCAAGTGGAGTGGCAAGGAGTAGGGTCGCCTGTCCAACCTCGCAGGTTTTTCTCTGAGTCCTCCAGTTTCCTCCCACTACTAAAGACCCCTACGTGCAAGCAAATGATTGAAATAAAATTGAACCATATGTTAGTCCCAAAATGAGTGGATGTTAACCCCATTTCCCTCTATTATTTATCTAATGGCCTTCAACTTTGGCAAATAGTTCATTGTGCAAGTTGATTCTTGAAAAGGAATATCGGTCAAAAATAGTTCAATTTCATTCAGTATTTACAAAGTAGTTATATAAACAAACCAGCGCCACCTAGAAGTTTTGGGTAAAATCTTTTGAGGGGCCATTTTTTAACCCAATTGGAGGCAGACCCCCATTAAATTTCACTATCTCAGTACCCACAAATTGTAGTTCGTTTATTTTTAGTATGCTACTTCGAGTTTGTGTATCACAAAATTTTGGTGGTCAACCTCATACAAATTTTGGTGCAAAGACATGACCATTTGTTTCTCTGACTGTATTGAAAAGCTTTCAACTTAAAAAAAAAATTTAGGGAAAAGTTAGATACAGATTTAACATTGAAGTCGATGGGGAAATTAATGGTGGTCTGCCTCCAATTGTTACCATGCCAGGAGATTATCTACCCTTGGTACTATAATTGTGGCTAAATCTATTTGTTAAGGCCAGATCAATTTTATTCAAGGTTGCTGAGATGTAAAGAAGGTTAGGGCGCGTGATTGTTGGCGAGATTGTACATTAGGGTTAAGGTTAGGGTTGGGATTAGCACTAGCCCTGTTTACATCTCGTGACCTTTGACCAAACTTGAAGTTGGCCTTATCAAAAAGATCTAACCCTATAATCATCATAAACTGAAAACCTATGAGATGTTTGAAATTGAAGTTTTTATTTTTATATTTCAGTCGTTTACCCAACTAGAAGAAGTAGTCATTAACTTATTAGAAGATCCGTGTCATGCAGCCAGTGAAGAAGTGAAAGTCAGTTCGTCATCTTTACGTAGACGATTATTAGGAACTGTCTACAACACTATACAGGTACAAACTATATCAGGGAATACCTTCCCCATGCACATAAGAGCTACAGAGTATACCTTCCCCATGTTCATAGGAGCTGTACAGTGTATACCTTCCCCATGCATAATAACTACAATGACAATAGCATAGGTGAACTTGAAATTTAGAAACTGTGGAAATGGTGTTTTTGATAGAGTTTGAATACTTTCCTCAATGTTCAGAAGCTGAAGTTATGCAAATGGCTACTGGCATTGCTCTCTATTTAAAAAAAAGATATATTTCCTTTGTCTCAACTAAATTCGCTTGTGCCATTAAACTACAAATCCAAATTGTGCATGCACTTTAAAGGTATAACATAGTTTTAAATGTGTATTTTAGGCACCTGGACCAGAAGTACCTGCTAGTCCCTATCTGATTGGTCTAACAGGTGGTATATGTAGCGGTAAATCTACTATCTGTAAAAAACTACAATCATTAGGGGCTGGTATTGTTGACTGTGATAAACTGGGTAGGTTGAAATTATCTCTCTTTAGTCTTCAAATTATCTCCCCTTTAGTCTTCAGAATACAGATTTACTCTTCAGACTTCCTTGAAACCTGCTGTGTGATTTGGGTGACAATCAAACATCCCTTTAAAATGATCAAGTTTTGCTTCTGAAATTGTATTGTTGACTGAAACAAGTTAAGTCTTTATTATCTCCCCTTTAGTCTTCAGATTATATATTAACCCTTAGCAAATTGAAAATAAACCCAATGGAATTTTCTAAAGTTATTTTCGCAATTGATGATGTAAATATCACTGATTCATAAACATAAGATTTGTTTTTAGTGCTTTATTTTTTCATAAATGTATAATTAATATCACAGGCTTGGCCATTTGTAGGACAGTACACGCTACAGCTGATAATGCAGGTACACCCAGACCTTTTTCGTAATGACTGTAGAAATTGTCATTTCATTATCTGTGTGAGACATCCTATCTATGGTCTGTTTTTTCTTCAGGCCATGCAGCTTATCAGAAGGATACCCCTGCATTTAAATCAATTATAGAAGCATTTGGTGATGGAGTTTTATCAGAAACAGGAGAGATTGATAGAAGAAAATTAGGTCCTATAGTATTCTCTGATCCAGTAAGTCATGTTGTTGATTTCATATGTTGATCTGTGTTATGGTATGACAATCTGTCTTTGATGAAAATGTTATGTCCACAGATAGATGCAGTGTGGTGAAATAACCGATCTTTTGTTCCGCTGTCCATAGAAACAGCCCAAGATACAAGAGTAGCTTTACATGTTGCTGGATCATGTATCAATTCTTTGAGGCACCAAAGCTATTCACATGACTCGTGGCAGTTCAGAGAGGTCAAGGGTGCTCTAGTTGTGGGAGGGTCAAGTGCTAAAAATATGAACTCAGTTGTCAAAATAATATACTTTTTCTTCACTTTTAGAGTCAACTGAAGAAATTAAATGGTATTGTATGGCCAGAGATAGGCAGACTTGCAAGAGAACAAATACAGCAGTATGAAAAAGGTAAGATTTTGTCATTTTACCACTGTAGGATGCAGACCACCAATTACTTCCTCTTGTTGAGATACCAATGAAAGTTGTTTTAGTAGGATAACAGCCATTAGGTCTGATATAATGAAATGTAGGACGGATAGTTACCTATTCTAGTATACATGCTACTTCAAATTTATGTATCTCAAAATATCCATGGTCAAACTCATACAAGCTTTGACGCAAGACAATGCCAGATGTTACTTCATCTATGGTAGAAGACGTTCAACCCAGTGAGAATTTGGGAAAAAGTTAGAGCTGGTTACAGACACAAGAGTTAACATTAAAGTCAGTGGCAATATCTTTTGTGAACATTCTCCATATGGAGGCAGAACACCATTAAATTTCACCATCTCGGTACCCACGAATTGTAGTTTGTCTATTTATAGCAATTCTCTCTCTCTTTTTTCTCCCCTTTTGCATGCCCATTTTTGTTGATTTTTTGGTCTAGAATGGACGAAGAGGGTTTGAATAAACATTTTCTGCCAGGTTTTGGTAAATATTCATGATTTTGAGGCGGAAGGATAACGGGGTTATCAGGTTGGCTACAGCGATATATACGGCAACTAGTTTCATGTTTTTAGTATGCTTCTTCAAGTTTGTGTATCTCAAAATTTTGGTGGTCAACCTCATACAAATTTTAGTGCAAAGACATGACCATTTGTTCCTCTGTCTGTAGTGAAAAGCATTCAGCCCAACGAAAATTTGGGGAAAAGTTGGAGGTGGGCAAAGAGGCCAGAATTAACATTGAAGTCAATGGGAAATTAATGGTGGTCTGCCTCCATACTACATAAGAGTTATGTCCCATTATTGCATAGATGGTTCATAAAAAGATAAGGTTAACACTAATAAATTTTGACAGCAGGAATTTAAGTTGTCCATTGTTCTTTCTTTAGAAAGTCTGGGCTGAAAGGATTGTAATCGAATGACATGGAATTCAGTGATGTCACTGAGGTAGTGTGTGTAGAATCGAGATGTAATTAAACACAGCGAATATGTTTCAACTGTTGCGGTTGATTGAGATATTTCTTATTCAATCAGTTGTAGTTGCCCCTTTTTACTTGATTGTTACGTGGGATTAATCAAGGGAATTCAATTCCAAACCATTTAATTGTGTATCCCCCAAATTTTATACTATCCCAACAACTAGAGCATATTTTGCTTGTGAGTCATCCTGTAGGTGCAGCCTATGTGAAGTTTTACTTAGGCTTGGATATCCGGGAGCCAAAACCAGGACTTTCTGATCAAGAGTCCAATGTCCTAAGCATTCCACTGCTATGACCCTCTCATTTCTCGGATATGATTGATGTATAAAATAGAGGGTAGTGGTATTAGATGCGGCAGTGTTTATAATTTATCTATAGATGCGGCAGTGTTTATAATTTATCTATAGATGCTGCACTGTTAGATATAATTTATCTATAATTATAGAGGGTATTAGATACTGTTGTTAGATATAATTTATCTATAAATATAGAGGGTATCAGATGCTGTTGTCAGATATAATTTATCTATATATTATAGAGGGTATTAGATGCTGTGTTAGATATAATTTATCTATATATTATAGAGGGTATTAGATGCTGTGTTAGATATAATTTATCTATATATTATAGAGGGTATTAGATGCTGTGTTAGATATAATTTATCTATATATTATAGAGGGTATCAGATGCTGTGTTAGATATAATTTATCTATATATTATAGAGGGTAAGAATATAGTGGTATTAGATGCTGCCCTGTTGTTAGAAGCTGAATGGAATAAAATGGTGCATGAAGTTTGGACAGCTGTTGTTCCTCAATCAGAAGTAAGTTTTATTCCTGTACAATTTTCTTGTCGAATCCCACATTGTGAATGAGAAGGTAATATGACCCCCCTCCCCAAATGGTTCATGACTTTGTTCTGTGTGGATCACAATGAAAATTGACAAGAGAATATTACTGCCAGGGAACCTACAATGGTTTTTTCCCTCCTATTTTAAATGCTATTTCTATCACTACCTGTTTATTATAGCGTTGTCAGGCAACGAAATATGGCCACCACCAGCATTTAGATGTGGCAATAAGTATGCAATAAACTGATGGGCAAATTTTAATGGGTCGAACAATCCTAGCAAATTTGGTGGTGACGGGGGCTGTAACTCTGCTAAAACAATATAAAATCACCATTATGAATATTTTGTTTATATTCTAGGCTGTGTTAAGAATCATGGAAAGAAACGGTTTATCAGAGGAAGAAGCCTTAAAACGAGTTAAATCCCAGATGTCAAATGATGATCGTGTTGCCAAGTCTAATGTTATATTCTGTTCTTTATGGGAATATGAATACACACAGGGGCAGGTAAAATATGGATCCATTTAATGACTTTAACCCTTTAGCACCTGGTACATGTAGATATTGACCACCCCAGTTAACTCTTTATCACCTGGTACATGTTTATATTGACCAACCACAGTTAACCCTTTAGCATCTGGTACATGTATATATTGACCACCCCTAGTTAACCCTTTACTTCCTGGTACATGTTTATATTGACCGTGCCAGTTAACCCTTTAGCCCCTGGTACATGTATATATTGACCACCCCCAGTTCCCTGACAAGATATTAGAGAAAATCACCTCAAATTTCCTGAATCACAGAGCGAGTATAGGAAATGAAATGGGGTTTAACATCCTACTGTTCTGTTCTGACTGGGCTAATGAAGATGGGCATACTCCATACTGTGTCCTATGTGAGAAATTTTGCCCAAACATTGGCGCTACAGCCTACTCTTATTTCAACTTCCAACTGGCAAGGGACCTTGGTTCTTTTGTCCCATCTGAATAACTAGACACTGTCCTTGCCATGGCCCTCCTTCTAGCACTAATGACAAAGGGGAATCACACTGTATCAGCCAGCATCAAGAGTGATCCCCAGACCTCCTGGTTAGTGAGTCAGCCTCTTAATCACTGAGCTTCTGAACTAGTATGGGGGTCTTCATTAAGTACATATATTGGACTATGTAAATGATTTGGGTTATGGTGCTTTAAGAATAATGAAATATGATTTTTTGTTGTTGTCTATTTCAGGTAGAGAGAGCGTGGAAACTTTTACAAGAGAGAATAAACACCAGAAAATAATATCAAAATTTAATATCTTTTAACATTTTGTACAAATAAACTATATTACAGTTCTTAACAAATACAAAATATCTGATCTCTATCCTGTTGTAACCGTTGTTACAGTAAAACAATAGTCTATATACCTCTTGAGGAAATGAAGAACCTTGTCTCAGTTGTTGGTTTTGTTTCATGTGCCACTATCAAACAGATATTGACATAGGTGAATGAATGAGGTAAATATTGGGTGAATGAAGAGAAAACTTGCATGGATATTTATGAAATAGACATGAAATTATAATTAACATTACTGAATAATAAAATGTTTATGATATGATTTGAATGTCTTTTTTTCTCATATTCCTAACACTATAGTTATGAGAGTCTGTAGTTTGTTTATGAGTAGCAAAATTTTGTAACCATTGGTTCATGAATATGGCTTTGTGTTGACCCACATTGAAATACTGCTGTGGTCAGTCCCTTTAGTTGTCAACATATCCTTATGGACAGGCCACAGCTTTTCGTTCATCCCCGGTTTTCCCAAATTATTTAGAGACTGGAAAACATTGATTTAAAAGATGAAAAATTACCTCGATTGGACATGTTATTGCAATTGTTACACAAGCATATAAATTTTCATTTCAACACTATAAGTTAAGGGTGTTTACATAGTTGTTTCTGTCACTCCCTCATTTTCTTAATCTGTGTAGGTAACAATGTTTAGTGTGGCACTATTCACCTAGAACAAATAGATTGTGTTGTTTGTTCAACATCTTTCAAAAACTTTATAAAGATCTGGTAAATTAGCAAGCTGTAAAATACTGGCATCTTCAGTGAATATATTTGGTGGTAAAAGTTGTGATTTTAACGCTGGATAAACAACATGTTCTACAGTCCATCTCCAATTATTGGTTGACTCTTCGCCACTTTCCTGAAAGATGAAATATAATTTATACATATAAATGAAAAGAGTAGACGACTTTTTAATCCCATATTTTGGTCTTGGTACACATTTGAATCACTTTACCTTTTAAAAGAACCAGTGGCTACCCACATTTTGCAAGAGATGGATAGAGAACAAGCTAAAAACAAAAACGATTTTTTGTACAATCAGGGGCCATAATCCAGAAAGTTATGGTCTGAAATGCGCAAATATCAAAAAGGATTGAGATTTTTGGAATATAAAGATATGTTTTAAGTTTCATCAAAATCGAATAAAAATTGTGACCTCTAGCGGGTGCATAACCTTTGTATTACATACTTATACACAATTTGCTTACAAAGAGCGACTTTTTGTCAGGCAGTTTCATTTCAATTTTCCCGAAATTTGAATTTAACCTTCACTATGGTGGAATGGTGATATATCTACTAAACAGTTTTTAAAATCGGGGAAATAAATTGTGACCTATAGAGAATCCACAAGCTAAAACTGTGATTTTTCGACCAAAAAGGGGCCATAATCCAGGAAGTTATGTTCGGATATGTGTGATGATTATCAAAAGGAACCAAGATCTTTATGATAAAAAAATATATTTAGAGTTTCAGCCAAATCGGATAAAAACTGTGGCCTCTAGAGGGTCAACAACCTTGATATACCATATTTTTACACTATTTACGTACAAGGGGTGGCCATTACGTCCGTCAATTTTTGTCCGATTTTCACGAAATTCGAACTCAACCATCATTAGTGTATAACTGTGATATATTCACACATATTTTTTTTTTAAATCGGATAAAAATTTTGACCTCTATAGGGACCACAGGCTCAAAACGCGATTTTTCTTACAATCAAGGGCCATAATTCAGGCAGTTATGATTCATTATGCGCGAATATCAAAAGGAACCAATTTCCTTGGGTTATAAACATGCATTTCAAGTTTCATCAAAATGAAGTTATGGTCCAATACATGTCAATATGGAAAGGAACCGAGATCTTTGGGAGATAGACCTATATTTCAAGTTTTGTCAAAATCGGATAAAAATTGTGACCTGTAGAGTGTCCACAAACAAATTGTGAATGGATGGACGGACAGGGGCAACGACATTATATGTCTGTTGTCGTTGTGCAAACTCTTCAGGTCAAAATTTTTATCCAGTTTTGACGAAACTTGAAATATAGTTTAATATCCAAAATATCTTGGTTCCTTTCGATATTGGCATGTATCAGAACATAACTTCATGGATTATGGCCCCTGATTGTACAAAAAATCACGTTTCTAGCTTGTGGACCCTCTAGATGTCACAATTGTTATCCAATTTTGATGAAACTTAAAATATATGTTTATATCCCAAAGATCTTGGTTCCTGTTGATATTAATGCATGTCAGATCATAACATCCTGGATTATGGACCCTGACTGTAGGAAAAAACATGATGCATAATGTGGGCGAATCTTGTATGGCAACCGCGAGTTTAAACTACTGACTACCAAACCACCTGTTACACAGAAGTAGTTAACAGTCTATAAATAGTTCCCAGCTATTCAGAGATCAGTAGTTTCAGACTCCAGGTGTTCAAGGAAATGATTGTCATCATCATAAGATAATGATTGACATTGTTAGCAAGTTATATAAACAGAATGTGATAATTAGAAAAATGATAACGGGGGATTTACTGAAAGAGACATGAAGATCTGTCAAAATGTTATCTGATTTATTGTTCTCTAATTAGCTGTACAGAAATAGTTGGAAAAGTATGAGGGAGATGGGGATTAACTTCCACTCAACAGAGTAGGTCATTTTGAGACTAACATGGTTCAATTTTATTTCAATCATCTGCTTGCACATAGGGGTTTTTAGTTGTGGGAGGAAACCGTAAGACCCAGAGAATACCCACAATGTCATACAGATAACCCTACTCTTTGTCACACGTACAAGCGAGCAATCTAAATCATTCCACTTGACTCAATGATAGACTTTATTATGATATAACGTGCACAAGGTAAACTATTCGGCAATCCAACTTCTGTGTTGGAAAAGCAAATTTAACTCCAGATGGGTAGTATAGTAATATCAACATGTTGTAAAAAAACACAAAAACATATTATGGAAGACAATATTACTATTTTAATTAAAGCTTGATAACATGGAGAGACTTAATGAAAAGTTGCTTTTATTAAAATAGTAATATTGTGTTCCATATTATGTTTTTATACGGCCACATTGAAATGTTGTCATTTATTGTCATCACCTCTGTCCGTCGGTCCATCGTCCACAACTGCTTGTGGCCCCTGATTGTACAAAAAAATCATGTTGCAAAATGTGGGTGTATCTTGCATGGCAACTGCTTGTTTAATCTAGAGGCTAAAGTTAATATCCGATTGACTTTAAATTTACACACAGTGTTTAAGGTCATGAGACGAAGACGCCTATTGATTTTCAACGATTTCCGATAATTACTGCCAGAGTTATGGACCTTGATCACTTTAAAAAATATAGTGGATGCTTTAGAGGCTAAAGTTAATATCCGATAGACTTTATATTTATACAGTGTTTAAGGTCATGAGACGAAGAAGCCCATCAATTTTCAACGATTTCCAATGATTATGGAAATTGATATTAAAAGTTAGAATGTGTTGTAAATGTTTTCATTTCTGACAAAAGAAAAAATATGCGACAACCCTTGTTGACTCCCCCAACGATTTAGCTGCTGTGGGTGTATGTTTCATTGCCTGGCAACCTATCTTTTTGTTTATTAGACGTGCTAATTGCTAAATGCCACTCAAAGAAGATCTACATGCAGGATAACGTGTAGAGCTTGTGTGGGAGACGCAAGGAGATTGTTATCAAAGTAAAGTTTATTGTGATAGCATAGCAACTTGTCAAGTAACAAATATACACCCACAACCAGCTTTATCAAAATCTCTCATCAGTAGAGGTAATGAATGGGCAATAACTCCTTGCAAAACAGATACTGAATGTGTATTTCAAAAGGATTTGTCATTATCACCCGTCCAACTATCCCAGCAAGTTTTAGTAATAAATCTCAAATTCTCTTAACTTTTTGAGTGATTACAAGAGCATCGAGAGATTTGTTACAAAACTAGTTTGCTGAAACAGATGATAGCATGCTTCAGCCAGATGATGAGAATCTAAAGGTCATGTTGTAATTTTGTTGACTCACCTCAGAACCAACTTCAGGAGGGAAGAGAGATTTACGAAAAGCATAGAAGTCACTTGTCTCTTTAGCAAAAGTATTGAAACATTCTTCTTCATCATCCCAATTCACCTGGAGAAAATACAACAACCAACAATTATTAGAGAGGGAGGGAAAGGGAGGGAAAGGGAGTTAATGTTTGGCACTAGCCTCGATCATCATTACTAAAGTCGGTACGATAAAAAAAATAGTCTTGATTATCCATTTTTTGATTTAATCATCAATGAGCGTTGAGCAGAAGATCAGGTTCTATTCCAGGAAATATTGCAGGCTAGCAATTATGTGTGGTGCAGCCCCTCCCTCCCCCTGCACTTACTATTGAGAGTTGATTATGGTCTGGATACGGTAATTAATGTCTAATTAATAATTTAGACAACATTTCAGGCCTAAAGAAAGACCTGCAATTAGCAGATTTAGCTCTTGCATAATGTATGTTTAATTTAACTTCAGTTCATTTTAAATTAAAGGAAAATTTTCATTTGGCGCTTTGCATCTTTAAATAAAAAAAGTTGTACATTTTGTTTTTCTTTCCAAAAACTAAATCCTCTGCTGTACAAATTTCAGTTGAATCAAATCTTTGACATTGTTTTTATGTGAATAGAAATTCTAGACAGTAAACAAATTAATCAAGATAAATCTATTTAATATCAAACATTTGAAATTGCTTTTCAAAAAGATATATCATTGTTTATTTTTAGAATGAAAATCTGGTTTTATGTGAATATTATTTGAAATAAGACCTGAAAGATTTACGTGTGTAAATGGATTATCTGGTAAACAGGAGCTATTCAATTCTCTTTCATCTTTCAATTAACAAAAACTAAAAACATTTATGATGAAAAACAGACCACCAGATTTCTAAATACCCATTAATCTTCAATTGGTTAAAAGTTTATACTTAAGGTCATTCCAATCTGAACTTTTTAAATAACCGTTAATCTTCAATTGGTTAAAAGTTTAAACTTAAAGGGGCATTATATATATAGGTAAGATTAGATAAAGAGCTGACAGTTCTTGCTATAATAGTTAAAGATAGATAATAAAAAGGAAATATGTTGAAAATTTCAGTCAAATTACTTCACTCTTAGCTGAGTTATCCACGATAGAATCACAATGTAGCCTCGATTGCCATTGCTATGGTTGTTACGATAATAGACAAAGTCTGGATTATCCATTTTTACGGTAAATCATCAACAGCAAAATGTATTTAAATCTACTTAATATTGTAGCCATCCGATTGCACTGAGAGTTGATTATGGTCTTTGTAAGTTAATTAATGTCTAATTAATAATTTATAACATTTAGCATTTGCATAATGCCTGTTTAATCTTCGATTGGGTTAAAAGTTTATTTAAACTTTAGGTCATTCCGATCTCAACTTTGGTTTTCAGGAACATCTATTCAAATTTTGATTCTTATTTCTTCGGGGAAAAATATAATTAAAAAAAAGAGAGTATGTGTTTGCTCTTCTATAAAGTTTTAAAATTTTAAAAAATAAAAATGTTCACTTGACTCCAGTAGCTATTTATTTATTAAAAACCCCAGAGAACTCAAATTAATTTTGTTTCGCCTAAATATAGGTGTTGATCTGTGATAGCTTTAAACTGTTCAACCATCAAAAAATGTTCATCTTTAGCAAAGTTTTATACCGGTAGTTGAAAAAATTAAAAAATAGAATAAAATGTACTTAATCTGCCATCTATCCTGTTAAAAACCTTATATTTACGAACTGATTTAGAAAAAGAAAAAAATCTACATTATCTGATTTCTTTCCTGTTAAAAACGTTTTATTTAAGAATTGATTTAGAAATAGAAAATAAAAGGACGTTAAGGCAGTTTTAAAAAGACAACATGATAACGTGGAGGCGTTTGTGTCAATATTTAATTATCAGAACTGTCTCAAATTTTGCATACAATCAAATTTGAACATGTGAGTTTTTAGTCAAATCACAGCACAAGTGCTTGATATTATTATCTTTTTATTGTTATTATTTAAACTTTTATATTGCGTCTACTAAAAATGCCTCTTCCATTTTACTTGAACAATTTACTTAAGAAATTTTGAAACAAAGGAATTATTTTTCATGAACATTAATGGTTGCATCTTTTGAGTCCACAGAGAAATCTAAATACAGTCATATTGGGAATAACATTTCTATTTCAATTATTTCCTGGCACAGTGGAAGGAAACTGGATGATCTAGAGAGAGAGAGAGAGAGAGAGAGAGAGAGAGAGAGAGAAATGGGGTTTAACATCCACACGACACAAACTATGTCATATTGGGACTAACCCACTTAATTCTGGTTTACCCCTAAATTACAGTTCCCCTATCATGCTATAACATATAATATATAATACCATTATAAATACCTCTGTAGCTAGTCGTAGAATATACATTGGTAGACCATCTAACATTGGTTGGTAATTATCTAATAACATTGGTAATGTCAGTAAATTACCTTCCTATTAATAGAAATAACATTAGTTGAGTCAGTAAATTACACATGTACAGCCCTGTTAATATAAATAACATTAGTTGAGTCAGTAAATTACAGCCCTGTTAATATAAATAACATAAGTTGAGTCAGTAAATTACAGCCCTGTTAATATAAATAACACTGATAATGTCAGTCTAACTCGTTGCAAATTAAAGATGAGGGGTAATTTTGCCCGCCCAGCAGCGTCAGGGCCTTTTGTTTTCCAAGTGTCAGAGTATCTTTAACATGCTGCCAATGATATATACGTATACTAGATGCTTCTGACACGACTGGAAGGGAAACCAGGCTTGAAAACCCCAAGGAAGTGAAATGGGGTTTAATCATTTTAATGTCCTACTGTTCTGCCCGACCAGGCTAATGAAGACGGGCATATGCTATACAGTGTGCTAGGAGGGAAATTTGGCCAAGGCAGTGGCACTATGGCCTACTCTTATATCGAATTCCAACTGCCAAGGGATATTTAACATGCATGCCAATGTATACATGGGACCTCGGTTTTTCATCCCATTCGAACAACTAGACAGCTGTCTTTGTCAGGCTCTTCGTCCTCCACCACTGAACTTTCTCGACCAATGCAGGGATCGAACACCCGACCTTCATGATAGCGTCTTACCCACTTAGCCACCGTGGCTCCCGAAAATCCCAAGGAATTGGGGCTAGTCTCATCCTTCATGTTGTTATGTAACAAACCTTATCAATTTCTATAGAGAAATACTCTTCTAACATCTCAGATTTTGTTTGTAGAAAATCTACGATATATTTAGCTAATCCTTCTTTAGGTCCGTCTGTTTCTGTCCAGCCACTTTCTTCAGAATCCAAGGCCATCATCGCTAAATCATAAATAGGTGCCGTCTCCTGCAAATATATAGGAGCTTATTAGAGAGACATAGAGAGAGAGACAGAGACAAACTAGGTCATTTCGGGACTAACATATGGTTCAATTTTATTATTATTTCAATAATTCGCTTGCATGTAGGGGGCTTTAGCAGTGGGAGGAAACCTGAGGACCGGTAGAAAACCCTTGAGGTTGGACAAATGAGTCTACTCCTTGTCACGTACAACCATGGAATCGAAACCACACCAGTTGATTCAATAAGAGACCCTATTTGGCCACCCAACCCCCAATGCAATGCTAGACCTTAAAAATCTAAAGTGAACACAATAGTGGCCTACTTCCCACCCAGTTAATAAATGGAATACAAAATACTTACTGAAAGTCTCAGTATTCCAAAATTACCAAAATCTTGAAGAACCAACTGATAAAACAATTCTTTACTGAAAGATAAAAAAGAAAATAGTCGCTCACATTATTTTTGACATTGGCTTTAAAAGATAATGTACCTATTGGTAAAAGATCCTATTTTTCTGCAATAACCTGGCTAATGATGACGACAAGAAATTTTTTGAAATCCCATCACTGGTATACACCATGCAGTTTGTATGAGGGAAATTTATCCAGAACAGCAGCATTTCCACCTACATGTTGTCAAATTCCAATTACCATCATGGGTTCTTTTACATGCATGGGAAACCTGTTCACTGGCCCTCGTTTTTTTTTTGTCACATCCAAATCTCAAGTCACTTTTCCTTGCCAGGTCCTCTGTCCTGTTCCACTGACAAGGGTAAAAGCAGGCTGCAAATTCCTGAGACGGTTTCTCGGCCAACGGCTAGATCAAATCCAGGACTTTCTGATTAGTGAGTCATCCGATTCTAGATATTTTGTTTATTCAGTAATGGTAAACATAATGAAATAATCAGCACTATTGCCAACAGTCAATAATGGTTATTTCGGAGTGAAATTTGTTTATTTTGTTAATCCTATATTTAACCCTTGAAATGTACAGTGACCTATTTTGACCCCAAAATGAGACCAGAGAAGTCTCTGTAGATTTGTATATTCCAAGGGTAATTGTGGTCAGTCAGACATCAAGCTACAACTGTCATCCCAAATTGTCTATCAGAAACAGCAGACATTAACATCAGTAAATTTGCTCATACAAGATGTAGTGAGGTAATTCCATTCATTCGGTCAAAAATGTTTAAATTACTTCATTACGGACAATTGTTTGTGTATTAATGGTTAATACATTCACTTGGACAAGAAAGTCAACAAATCAAATGATAACATATATAGCTGCCATTTGTTAAACATAAGCTATAGTCAACTTGTGAAACAAAGGATGACAACCAATTTAATCTTTAAATTCTACGCTACAGATAAGTTTTAAATCTTTGAAATTACTAGTTTGAAATTTTCTGCAGTGGAATTTTCCTTAGCAACGGCTTGCAATGGTGCAACAAAATCAAGCAACAAATCATTTAATTCTAGAGGATAAATCTCATCATTGCACAAAAAGTAGTAGGGTAGGGCTTAATGTCAACTTCCATCTTGGGTGACATCGCAGACAAATGTTACCCAAGAAACTTGCGAGTGGAACCAATCTCATGCAAGAGGCTCATCCTGATTGGTTTAGAATTGGGTAAGCGAATAAGAAATTCTGTCACTTCCATTTCCTTAGTTAAAGTTGACGATGTGCCTTTTGAGTAAGAGCATCTCAAGAGGTGTTAATCCAAAGGCGTTACAGCTGGGTAATACCTACGAGACAGTAGATGAGATGGTGGAACAATCGCTGCACAAACAATACAGTCCTTATATGGATATATAAAATAAAAGATAAACTAAACAAGCCAACAGTGAAGCTGATGTCCCCCGCCGAAATCCCAAAATACATAGATGACACATTAAAGATACATTATGGGAGATTCGATAACGAGTTGGCAGTTCTCACTATAATAGTTAAAAACTAGATAACGTAAAGGCAATTTGCTGAAAATTCCATTCAAATTGATTCACTATGAACCGAAAACTAAGTGAATGAAATTTCTGCCTAGCTTCGGTCATCATTACTAAAGTCAGTACGATAAACATCATAGTCACGATTATCCATTTAATCGTTTAATCGAGAAGGAAAGTTATCGTCAGTAAATCGGCTCAGAATCCACTTAAGATCGCAGGCTAGCGATGCCATCTAGGGTTGATTATGGTCTGGATAAGTTAATTAATGTCTAATTAATAATTTAGATAACATTTCAGGCATAAAGAAAGACCTGCAATAGACAGATTTAGCTCTTGCATAATGTATGTTTAATTAATCGCACATTTATTTTTTTTTAAAAGTGTCAAGCAATCAAACTGATTATCAACTATACACTAAGTTTCATCACTCTCTATCAGATAGAATCAAAGTTATCTTGTCCTAAAGCATCAACCAATGGGACAATTAGATTAATACAAAGTGAAATATTATGAAATGAAATAGGATTTTATTTCTAATCTGGTTGGGGTAATGAAGACATGCATATGCCATACAGAATGATATGAAGGAAATTTTGCCCGGACAGCAATGCTACAGCCTACTCTTACATCAAATTCATACAACCAAGGGATGTGTACACAAGACTTGTGAAACATTCTAACCTGAATGCACCTGCAGATGGCTAACAACAATAAGAATTCTGTAGATAGTACTTCAGTCGTTTAAATAAAAAAAAAAATATTGAGAATCCAACTTGACCCTCAATAACTTGTGATTGCAAACAATCGTTGTTAAGAAATGGTGCTTTATGTATAATATAAATGGTCTTCGTGTTAAAGACATTTAGATAGACACAATATAAATTATTGATATGAAATAAATGGCCTGGACAAAGTACAATCTCGGACTAATCAGACTTACTCCCTACTCAATCACCATTTAATGAGTTGGGGGAATTTTAGTCTTATTGTCATATCTATGTTCAAGGTTCAAGCGCTTCAGAGTTAATGGAGAAATATTTAGATGACACCCTGGGCTTTAATTCAATCAACAACACTAGTCGGAAATAATTGGCTTAATTGTGAAATTGTCCGAGATTAGAGTTAATCATGGTATCATACAACCCCTGGTCTTCTAATGTAATTATCAAAGAGAAGTTACAGTCCACCACATGTCTTGTCCATTCAGATAATTTAATCCTTCATAATTAGGTCATCTGGTCAACCCACAAAATTTATTATACTTCTAACTACCAGGAAAAAAATCAAGTTATAGACTCTAATAAATAAAGGGAGAGTAATGGGGATTAACATCTACTAGTGACTAGGAAAACAAGCCAACAGTGAGGCTGATGTGGATAACACACATAATCTAATTGCATATTTATCTTTTTATAAAGCATTGATCAATTTGCTTATCAGTGCTTAATGTGAGCAGAAAATGCTTGGTATTCTAGCTGGTTTTTAGACCACTCGGGTCCTAAGGGTTCATAACATTACAAAAAAAACCCAACAAATTTTAGTCCATTTTTAGCCTGGGAGGCTTTTATATAGGCCTAATGTCATTCAGGGTGTCAATGTCCAAAGGGTTAAACACAAACTAGGTCATTCAGGGTGGCTGAATGGTCCGATGCTTGCACTTTAAGCTCACAATAAAAACCTTTTTTTCTCCAATCATTGGTTAAGCCTATAGGACCCTAAATATCTAAATGTATATTCAATTATTATTATAAAATTTTTATTAACCTTTTCTGTTCAGAGGTGCTTTACAAAGTTACAAGTGAAGATAACACTAGGTATTTTTATCACGTCATGATCATAAAACCCGACAGCACAATTGTCAAATAGCAGTTGAATATTAAGTCTGTAAACTAATCATGCATGTCTACACAAGTTCCTAATTATCTATAATCATGCATGTCTACACAAGTTCCTAATTATCTAATACTAAAAAAGCTTAATGCATATTACACAATTCAACAACCCAGTCCGGTTATCCAAATAATTCCCACTTGTTTATATCATTTTAAACGACACAGTCAAATGGGTTGGAAGCCTATAGAGTATATGCAAATAAGCATTTTATAACGGCAGCTCTTTAGCCGTCTCTCTGTTCACCATTAAACAAAAGCAGTTGCTCTGGTGATACAGCACTGCGCAGGTCCATCCGGGACGACTATATAAAGGGAACATCCGCACAAACTCACTTAAGTCTGATGAGTTTGAACTGAACGAAATTAGTTGCTTAATGAGAGAAATCTGGGACGGCTACTCACCACTCATAGATTTCTAATTTTAAAAGTTACAAAATATGAAATAAACCCCAAAAGAGGTTAAATAAAATCAAGAACTAAATACCATCACAACAAAAGAAAGAATATCACAGCAAACTCATGTACATATATAATAGATTTTAAAGCTCATTAGCACTGCACCCAAAAAGATAGATTGCCAGGCAACAAAACATACGCCCACAGCAGCTTAGTCGTCCAAGCAGCCAACAAGGGTTGTCACATATTTTTCACTTTGTTGGTAATCCAATCCGCTAAATATCACAGACTAGCGATGGCATCGAGAGTTGATTATGGTCTGGATAAATTAATTAATGTCTAATTAATAATTTAGATAAGAAAGACCTGCAATAGGCAGATTTAGCTCTTGCATAAAGTATGTTTAAGTAATTATCAATCGGATGATAACTGGGGTCTGTAGAGCCTGAACAATAACATTCAAAGAGGCCAAGGGCCATAACCCTTGCAGTAACTATTGGAAATCAATAGGATTCATCATCTGATGAACATAAATACTGTATGAATTTTAAGTAAATCGGATATTAACTTTAGTCTCTTGTGATCAAGGGCCATAACTCTGGCAGTAATTATTAGATATCGTTGAAAATCAATAGGCTTCTTTTTCTCATGACCTTAAATACTGTGCATAATTTTAAAGTCAATGGGATATAAACTTCAGCCTCTATTGTTGACCACGGACGGATCGACGGACTGAGGTTGAAGGCAATATTCGACAATGTGGGCGTAAAAAGAGTAATAGTTACTATCTTTCACATCAGTACGTAATGAGATGTTAAAGCTCATTAACACTGCTTTAAGAATACATGTACAATTAATGGTGATATAAATGCCAGACATCAAGCTTAGATTTTAAAACATAATGTATAAAGGCCACACCAAATAGATTTTCTGTTCTTCCGGAACACTTGAAAAGTTTTCCTGCTTGTTTCTTCAGGAAAAAGATTTATTTAAAAATCAAAATTACTTGATTGTGCTGTTTAAAAGCTTTTAGTTCCAAATTTTAAACTAAACATCGATCATGTGATTCATGTGGTTATTCATTTATCAAGAACCCAAAGAACAGAAAATCAAATTAGTGTGCTGTGAAGCCAATTTTTCTATTTGCAGACGGTCAATGTTCGGCCATCTTGAGAAATAAACCACTTATAACATGTTAGACATTTTTTTCGCACTTGGCCATGTGAAGATGATTTATTGTGAAGATTGTCCGACTCTAAGCTTAGATTTCAAACATAACAAGATCACTACAGGCAAGGTTTTTTTACTTGCAGACGGTCAATGTTTAGCTATCTTTAGAAATAAACCAATTATCTAATAAAGATTTAATTTATTTCCAATAATTCGAACCTCATGGCCAATAAAACCTTGGTTTAATGAAATTCTTAATTTCTTCTGTCTGTCTCAATCTATTTTTGCCCAGTTGACTACATTAGCTGTGCTACATTAGCTGTAATATACCAACAAATGAAGAACCGTTTTCCTACTGTTTTTAATCAATTTGTGTGCTGAATGTTGCAACTTAAAGCCACTGATCGCCGCCATGTGAGTGATTCTGAATTCCTCGAAAACTACAATATTGTAAAGTTAAATCTCTAAAAGGAATTAACATTCGAAAAATGGTTCAGTTGCATTCAGTATTTATAAACACCTCAATGCCACCTATAGTTAGGTAAAATCTTTTGATGGGCCTCTTTTTAATACAATTGAATCGAAGCCGTATAATTATCTTAATTAAATATTTGAGTACATATTAATATGGATTAATGCGTGAAAGTTTAGTCATTTTCCATGTATTGTGTTGATAGGGGAGTAAATGAGTGCGAAATGGGGTTTACCGTCAACACGACACAAACTAGGTCATTTTGGGACTAACATATGGTTCAATTATATTTCAGTAATTCACTAGGGAGTATGTATCTTTGGCAGGATGAGGAAACCAGAGGACCCAGAGAAAACCCACCTGGTAGGACAGGCCACCATACTCCTTGTCACGTTCAAACAGGGAATTGAAACTATACCACTTGACTAAATGATGGACCTTGTGATTTCATACACAAGCGTTAAACCACTAGACCCCCCCCCCCATCCACCCTGTGTTGATAGGGTTTTTTCAGTTGCAGCACCCATCCTATGGAACAAACTCCCAGCAACTTTAAAGGAAGCCAGAACATCCTTTAAATCATGCTTGAAGACTCACTTATTCAATTGAGAATACCAAACGACACTCACCTGTTTTAATGTCATTTAACAAAAAAATAATCTTAAGCTGTTGTTTTAAATGAGTTTTGAAGTATCTTTAGTCTTAAATGTAGCCATTTTTTTTAGGGGATTTAAAGGTCAGAAACAAACCTGATCAACAAAGCCATCTGTTTTATCTTTTGCTTCCAGTATTATCATGTATATATTTTAATGTTATATAAATTGGCAGTGCGTTCATATACCTTGACAGTTGGAATACATTAATCTATATATTAAAACAACATTTCAATAAATTTAAGCGAAAAATAACTTCATTCCTTGTCTACATTTGGATATCAATAATTGATTTAGTCCACCGTCAGTTTATTTGAAAGGGGTTATTACATCATATATCCTGAATGCCGTAAAGATAGTGTTACACTATAAACTCTAGACGATAAAATACAATAATTTAATTTCATCTGACTTAATGTCACTTCAACAGGAGTTTTAAGGTACCTTGTTTTCTCTTTCAGGAAATCAAGTGAAAAACGATAAAAAAAAGTTGATTAAAAACACAGAATTTAACTATTGGTATTTCCACATGATCAAGATTTTAGGCCATAAATCTCTTATTGTAGAAATGTAGAACTGTAGAAATCCATGACATTGGCACTTTGGGGCAAGGGGCAGTACCTTTTTATAGTAGTATTATCATAAATTTAACCCAACAATGTTATATTACAAATATGGATGTATCTGTTAGACCTTTGACCTTAACTAATGGACCAATTTGGATTTGGTGGTATTGTGAACACCTATCAGAGTTTGGTGGTATTAATAGGGTGAACACCTACCTGAGTTTGGTGGTATTAATCAGTTAAACACCTATCTGAGTTTGGTAGTATCAATAAGGTGAAAAACTATCTGATTTTGGTATTAATTAGATGAAGACCTACCTGAGTTTGGTGGTATTAATAAGGTGAAGACCTACCTGAGTTTGGTGGTATTAATAAGGTGAAGACCTATCTGAGTTTGGTGGTATCAATAAGGTGAAGACCTATCTGAGTTTGGTGGTATCAATAAGGTGAAGACCTATTTGAGTTTGGTGGTATCAATAAGGTGAAGACCTATTTGAGTTTGGTGGTATCAATAAGGTGAAGACCTATCTGAGTTTGGTGGTATCAATAACGTGACGACCTATTTGAGTTTGGTGGTATCAATAAGGTGAAGACCTATTTGAGTTTGGTATTAATTAGATGAAAACCTACCTGAGTTTGGTGGTATTAATGAGGTAGAGTTTAGTCTGATGTTGAACCAGGGCATGTTCTTCATTCACGCAACCAACAAACGTATGATTCTGAATCAGATCTTTTAAACCTGTTATAAATATATTTCATACATAATTCAACTTCAAAGCTACATTTTCATCAAGCTAAGAAGAGTTGCTGAATTTATCAACAACAATTTCTGTCTTGTATTGAATGAAGTATAAATGATCATAAAGCTTTCAGGAAATAACATCCAAATCTTATATTATCTCATTCAATAATTTCTCAACATCAAATTATATCATCGAATAAACATTGAAGTCATCAAATAATCAAAAGAAACATTGAAGATATCATATAATATCCAATATAATAACAATTCTATATTTGCTCCCTATCAAAAGAGGAATCTGTATAAAAAAGTCAATCACCGGTAACTAACTTCTTTTTATTATTTCATAAAATGTTTCAAAGCATTTTGCTGTGAGCTAATTAAATAAAGAAATCATAGAAAAGGGGTTAACATGAATTGATAACCTACAAGATAAACAGATATATATATATATACAGATGACAATCATAAAGTCGGAAATTTGTTTTTTTGTATCTCGTGTTCTATATTTTACAAAACATCTGACCCTCTGACATGTTTTATCATTGAGTCATTAAATTATTTGTGTAAACATGGGAAGCCATGATGGTTCAGTCAGTAAGGTACTGAATCAGAAGCCAGGAAGAGTGTCTAGTCTTTCAGATGAGTAAAAAAAACCCCAAAAAACAAAACCGAAGCTCCCGTAGGCACATTGACGTGCATGTAACAGAACCCTCGATAGTTGCATTTCAAAATTCCCTCATAGCCCACTGTATGGGGTATGTCGTCTACCTAGCCCAGTTGGTGAAGAAAAGTAGGACGTTAAAGCCATTTTATCTATACTAATATTTGTGACTGTTGTCTGTCTGTTCAGGGTTGGGGCTACACTAGGGCCATCTCAAGGCTGAAATTGGGTGTATAGAGGTAGCTCAGACTGGGGCGTAACATAGGCCTGGTTGTGATGGACTACTACTTCTAGTTTCAGAGTTATGCTACTTCCGGCTTATGGCTATACCCGTGCTATGCCGGGTTAACAGCTACTTGCTTTAATTTGTGTAAACAGCCAATCCATCTAAACAGAACTTTTCCTAAAAAGGGTATGACCAGAGAACCGACCACTCGTAGTGTAGGCACCAAAATCTTGTTTTCATATCTCTGATATCGTATCAACAGTTGTTGTCCAGGAGTCAATGAGTGACAGTTTATGTACTGGGGACTGGACACTCTAATTGCTAGGAATATAACGGCCATCCAGCAACTCATGTTAACTTTAAGACTACACAGTACAACTTACTTTTATTGTTTTTCTCCTCCATCTTTTCAATCAAGGTACGAATACTGGTCAGACCGATCTCTCGTTTCTCAAGTTTAATGGGTGGGGTAGACGTACTGGGCTTTTCACCGCTTGTACTGCAACTAATAATATTATGTAAATCAGTACATACTGAACTATACACTATAAACCAGGTATCATTTAATCTTGTGTATCTAGCGCTAATTTCTTTCACATTCGTAAAAACGGTTTAAAATCACCATAAATCGTTTAATTTGTACTTCTGTCCAGTTTAAAGCTGACTATTCAATTTTGATAATGAGTGTCCAATTTACAAGTGTTTAATTTCTCAATCACTGTTAAAAAATAAACAACCCAATTGATTATAATGATGTATAATGATTAATTTTTGAACAGTGGTCAGGAAAATAAATGCTTGTAAATTGGACACTCATTAGCAAAATTAATCAGTCAGCTTTAAACTGAACACAAGTACAAATTAGATGATTTTTGGTGATTTTAAACGATTTTTACAAATTTTTAAACAAAGATTTGATATTAAACAAATGTGAAAGAAATTGGTGCTAGACACACAAGATTAAATGATACCTGGGTTACAGTGATAAACCATGACAGATAAACTTAACACTGAGATTTGGCTGATGTCTTTTAGCATCCTACTTTTCTGCGCCATCAGAGCTAATGAAGAGGGCTTATGCAGTGTGCTATGACCATAAGAGAAATTTTGTCTGGAGAGCGGATTGAGTTTCTGCCTACTCTTTAACTGGTGAACCTCAGTTTTTTGTCACATCAGAACAACTAGATGCTTTTTGTCCTTACCTAGGGGATACCAAGTTTGAAAATCCTGGGGATCAAACACAGGACTTCCTGGTTAATGAGGTACCATGGCTTCCTGCTACTCAACACAAATTGGACTGTTTTGAGAAAATTCATATTCCATAATTTGCTCGCACACAATTGTCTTTAACAGAAGAAGGTAACCACAGAAAGCCCACAAGGTTAGGCAGTGACCCCCACTCTTTATCATGCACAAACATGGGATCTAAACCACAACACTAACTTGACCCAAGAAATCACCCAAAGTCTCAAGATATATAATAGATATACTCATTTAGAGGTTTTGGAAATGTGGCTAATTTGGTATTTTATCTGTACACTTTGAAAGCTACATACATGGTGGAGTGGCCATTGATTAAAATAAACAATCTAGAATTTCTTCTAAATCAAGGCGTATACTGACTCCATGCACTTTCACTTCATACTGGAGGAATTTTTGTACACAGGTGTTAAGTGACCACACTATGTCTATATATATAGTCATCTCTTTATTCTCAGTGCCATTACAACATATGTTAACTCTTCAATGTACAGAAGACAACTACTGTAACACATTACTATTCATATATTATACAAAGGTCATGAATATACAAGTTAACAAAGGGCAATAACTTTATTGCAATGACAAATTCATATTTATTTTGAAATGTCAACCAAAGAAAGAAATTAACAAATAGTCAGAAATTATATAACATTATACACACCTTGGAGCTTTAAAATCCTGATCATCATCTTTATTTTGATTGGTTAAGGAGGTTTTACTTGTACTAGATTCTTTATGTAAGAAAGCATCAAGTTTTTGATCCCGACTGTCAGTTCGTACCATCTGATGGGCGTACAATTTCTTCTCTCCATCTCCTGTAAAACGGTCATGATTTGTTTTCACAAATTATCCAGATACAGCTCAGCGCAGTGCCGCAGTTGGAATGGAATAATAATTGTGCACAATGTGAGGTTGGAGAATTTCACCCGGAGGCTAAAGGACTTGGTATCTCATCATTTCTGAACAACTAAGCATACTACCTTTCTTTGATTTCCATCTGTGTGCACACAGATATACATGGGTGGACCTTGTACAAACAATCTATGTGGTGATATAATAAACAGGTATACATCTCACCTGTGACAGTATCTGTAGATTTCTTCTGAGGTTCATCAGGTAGAGAACAAGTAGCACCAGGTAACAGTGCCTGAAATAAAATGAAATGGGGTTTAACGTCCTACTTTACTCCACTGACAGGCATACACCACACAGTATACTATGAGGGAAATTCTGCCCAGACAGTAGCACTATGGTCTACTCATATTTCGTATTCTAACTGCACATCAATATGTGCCCAGGCCTCAGTTTTTAGTCCAATCTGAACGACTAAACACTGTTCCTTGCCAGGCACTCCGTCCTGCACCACAGCAGTGCCTGAAATATGTTGACACACAACTCATAAAATACTTGGATTCATACAAGGAAAGGAATGGAGTTGAACGTCAACACAATACTTCAGTAATTTTGAAACTAACATAGTTGTTTTGTTTTTTTCTTCAAAAAGTCACTTGTGTAACGCTAGGGAGGAAAAGTCACTTGTGTAATGCTAGAGAGGCAAAGTCATTTAATGTGAGGTGAATTCACTTGTGTAATGCTAGTGAGGTGAAGTCACTTAATGTGAGGGGAAATCATGTGTGTAATGCTATGGAGGCGAAGTCACTTGTGTAATGCTAGGGAGGTGAAGTCACTTAATGTAAGGTGAAGTCACTTGTGTAATGCCAGGGAGGCCAAGTCACGTGTGTAATGCTAGGGAGGTGAAGTCACTTGTGTAATGCCAGGAAGGCAAAGTCACTTGTGTTAACGTTAGATTTACCTGTGTAAAGAAAGTTCTGGAGGTATTGGAACCAAGAAGTTTAGTTTCTATTACACCTTGTATACTTTCTATAATGGCATCTTCGTGTAGAAAATGAACTTCATGTTTCGTTGGGTGGACGTTCACATCAACATTCTGTGGTAAGATCTCTAAACTGAAAAATATTTCTTGGACTTATACTCAATGACAGACCTTGTGATCTAAAGCATAAACATTAGCCCAAAACAGTCACCAAACCTCTAATAGGGATATAAAGTCTTTTTAAGAATATTAATTTTGTAGAAATAAAGGAAAGGGAGGGTGCCCACACCCTACCTCCCCCTCCCTCTCTAAGAGTGCCACTATACTCAATGAAGGTCAGAATGAACTGAATGATTACAATCTATTTTTGTTTCAATCAAAAGATCTGGGAGGGGGGGGTATTGTCTGTTGATACAAGCATTCAGCGTATAATGGAAGCATTTTAAGAACAAATTCACTAACCGTTATTGGCAACATATTGAAACCACAAAATAACCTGATTCAGTTGTACGTTTTATCTAATTAAAACATCCTGATTCAGTTTAAGTTGTATTCAATCGAAATCACTAGACAGTATTATGCAAACATTATCCTGTGGTGCCAAAATTATATATTTTGAGTGGGTTAGCAGACTTTAAATTTAAAGGGGGGGGGGGAGGGGGGTTCTTATATCAAATTCCAAATGCCAAGGGATCTTTTACATGCACACAAATGTATACAGGCCCTCCGTCCTGCGCCATTGACAAGGGAAAACCACATCAGAAAAATATAAATTCAGACATATTTATGGTCGTCAGTAAGTATGTCTATCAAAGAGATCAACTATTGTCACAGATGAACTGGAATGATTTTATTCTAACTATTTTGTCATCTGTATGCTTGTAGAGTAATGATCTATTGAATATTTGTAATCAAATTAATTCAGATTATCTGAAAGAATCAATTGAAGTTGAGATGGTAAATTATCAGCTTGGAATTTAACACATGAAATGGGAGTTTAACATTCGACTTTCTTGCACCAACCAGGCTAATGAACATGGAACAGAAACAGAATATCATTTTGCTTAGATTAGATTTTAATAAAAGAATCAAAATTTTATTAGCTCTTGTGCATTAAAATATGTGTTAATATCAACTTAATGTAGAAATAGTAATATAGTTTTGATGCGTTTTGATGAGGAATGTCAGTTTCATAATGAAATATCTACTTTTTTTTTATGAGGAATATTTATTTTATAATGAAATATCTACTTTATGCAACATGTCTATGGATTGCTGAATGTTAATGACATCACTGGGGAAACGAGTTTCTGAATCTAAGAGGTTTCATTATGGATTTCACGCTTTAAAGTGTATTGAATCTAATGATAATTTGTTTATCCCGTTACTCTGTAATATACATTGAGCTGTGTAAAGATTCCTATATATGGACACATCAAATAAGGAAAAACTAGAATCTTTAATACATATGAAGCATCAACAACAATAGAACCAACACACCTGCCAATAACGGAAACTTGGCTTACTAACTACAACTGAAATATCCCTTTAAAGTGATATAAATTTTCTTGTTCATTCTTCCATGATTGCCACAAGGAATGGATTTAAATTATTCTGTACAAAATGCCTCTTTTTTTTCCAATTTATAACGAGAGAGAAAAGACAGCTTTTATGTTTTTTTTCGTATAAAGAGGCAATAAAAAATTCCATTCTAGTAAGAGAGCGGCTTGGAGAGACATGGGATTTAAAATACATATGTGACGCAATCCTTTGATGTCGGTATACCATTACTTCCAATAATGTGCCAATAATGTATACATTATTTATACTAGATAAAATATTGGGCTCACGAGACATATTTTATTAAAATGTACATACAGTATAGTGTCTGTATTTTAAGTTGTTTAATGGACATTGCGTAATATATTGAAACATATATAGTGATTAGTATAAATATATTACTTCTCGCTCTCCACAATTAAACCACACATAAAGTTAATGTCCAAAAATCAAACTAAACTGGAAAACTTGAATAAATCCCATAAGGTTTGGCAGGAGATTAAAACCCACAATCCTTGGATCAAGAAAGCATGTATTATCTAAATCACACTTAGACCACTTGACCACAACTAAAATAAGGGCTGAAATGTGTTTTACAGATACTAATTTAGAAGATTAAAATTTTTTTTAAAAAAAAGCAGCTTCAATAATGTCCTAGCCTTGATGTTAATAACACGCCACTTGAATCAATGACAGTATTTATTATCTAAAGTGCAAGCATTAGACCCCTTGACCACCCCCAAAATAAGGGCTGAAATGTGTTTTTAAAATTCTATTTCAGAAGAATCAAACAAAAACTGCAGCGCAGATAGTATTTGTGCCTTGATGTTACAGGATACAAATAAAATCTCTTTGTTTCATTCACAGATGCACAACAGCATGATATTCCCAGAAAGTAATGTAAACTTCAAATGGTCATAATTTATATTAAACACGGGCATCCTGTACAAATTAATCTTATTTTTATTGGTGTTACACGAAAGTAGCTTCTTCCAATTATTACCAGAAGTATGTCAGACCATGTTGTAAACAAATGTTCTTCAACCAATCAGATACACCTACAAATACCTAGCTAATAAAGACAAGCATATGCCATATAGTGTGCGATGAGAGAGGGGTGCTACAGCCAACTCTTGTATCAAAATTCAACTGTCAAGGATTCTTTTATGTGTACATTTGATTAGTACCAACAGTACATTTCATTGGTACCAACAGTACATTTCATTGGTACTGATGGTACATTTGATTAGTACCAACAGTACATTTGATTGGAACCAACAGTACATTTGATTGGAACCAACAGTACATTTGATTGGTACTGATGGTACATTTGATTAGTACCAACAGTAGATTTGATTAGTACCGACAATACATTTTTACAAATGTCCCAAGAGATGAGATGCTAATTACCATTCTAAGAGAGAGAATCAATCAGGGGGGATGATGTCTACAAACAGGTTTATGGTCTCCCAATGGGCTCCCCACTCTCTCCACTTTTGACAGAAATTTACATGACATCTTTTGAAGTTAATGCCCTTAAAACATCACCATTCCAACCCGCAAGAAGCTGGTATCAAAGTCTACTTCAAAACTGGTAAAAGCATAAAAGACATCCTTGGTGCCAATGGAAAGACTGAATCTTCAACAGGTAAACAACCCAAGGGCTGCGTGTACCAAATCACATGTTCCTGTTCCAAGAAATACATCGGTGAAACGAAATGCCCACTTGTAAAGAGGTTGAAACAACACTAATCGAGAAGCACAGACAACAAATCAGCTGTATATGAACACCTAAACCTGAACAAACACCACCAAGTAAACTATTCTGAGGTCCAAGTGCTAAACAAACATCTCTATAACAAGAAATTCAGAAAACAACAAGAAGCCATCCAAATCAAGAGATTTAAACCTGAACTTATTAGAGACGAGGAATTATATCTTCCATGGAGTTATCATATCTTAATTAATTTTTAATCAATATCCTCAATGTTTATTTTGTATTGTTATTTTTGTTCTTTTTATTAGTCCTTTGATGGTTTCAGATTAGTTACTGTTTTTGTTACCTTGTCGTATTTAATTTAATTTCTTGCTATTATACTGTCATTACTTACTTGAGAACGACAAGAGGAACAGTGATTGTTTTCCATATAAATTTGTATTTTTATAATATATGTTCAATTACTAAATGCCGTATAAGGATTTCAAAGTTACTTGAAGTAACTTTGCTGTATTGTCATTATTGGAAAATCCTAGTTTCTTGCTTTAAAGTAGCTAAGTCTCTAACTCAATATCATCCAAAGTCTTACAAGTTGAAAATGCGAATTATTTGTCAAATTCAACATCAGGCCCTAAGGCAATACAAATTTGAATTTAGTTTTTCTCCAACGCCTGTTACAGTTTTACTTCCCTCTTTACAAAAAAAAAAAAAAAAGGACACCTGATTTATTTTCTCAAATTTTTTTTAGCTGTCAAGTTTTTCTGTTGTTTTTTAAAATCTTTTAATTTGTTTTGGTTGTGTAATCTTCTTTAATATAAGATTCAACTTCTTCAGGTATATATGTCAGGTAGTGTTTAGATGATCACAATAATTCACTCATTTTGAAATGAACATAATGCAGTCATTTTTATATGCCCTCATGCCTTTCAATGTAAATTAAAAAAACAAATCTCACATGACATACGAGCAGAAATAATTGAGCTTTCTTGATCTTGACAAAAAATGATGTCACTTGGAAAGATTCCAAATGGATTCACACTTTAAAAAATTTCACAACGGAAGGCATAACGATAATATCTAGTCAACGCATTCAAGAAAAAACCATTGATAACTATTCATTTTCAAGGAATTAAGTAAAATGGCAAGTAAATAAAACGGCTTTAGATAGCAGTCACAAGTGATCAAAACATAATTAAGCGTGTGATAAAATACAATTATATCAATTACAAGTTAGAGCATAGGTCCTTATTTCCATAAAACAGAGAAAACATAACAATTTCAGAATAAATATAGATAGTTGAAATATGCTACATTATTTAATTTACTGATTTTATCTTTATTTAATCAAAACAATATCTTGTTGTTTATGTAGGGTCTTAAATTAAAGAAAAACCTGAGACCATTATTTCAAAATCATTTTAACATGGTATAATACATGCATGATCACCGACATGATTGACAAATTACACCTGTGGGCTCGTCTATTATCGACAAGTCAAACAATGATTAATAATTTAAACATACAGAACAATAAGTTCATCAAGTGTAAAAATTACCTGTTTTTTTATGTATATAATTAATTAAGAATAATTATTAACTTTTGTTTATAATTATATTCAAGTGGAATAAGCAGCACTACGACTTACTCTTATATCGAATTCCAACAGTCAAGGGATCTTTTACATGCACACCCATGTGTACACGGGACCCCGGTTTTTTCGTCCCATCCAAACGATTAGACAGCTGTCCTTGTCAGGCCCTCCGTCCTGCATCACTGACAAGTTGGAACCACGTCGGAAAATGAAAAGCATAACATCAGAAATAGTGATTTGTTTGCCCATTTATTAGTTAACCTTAAGCAAAGTTTTAAGACTAAAAAGGGGGAAACCAGGCTGACCAATGGATGTTCTAGCCAAATACTACAATCAAACCCAGAATCTCCAGTTTAGTAAGTTATTGCCATACTCACCGAGTTACCATGACATCGCAGGGTCATGACATTTCACCTGTCTTTCTAATTAAACACATCAAACATAATCTTTATCTAAAATTTCGAGTATTCCCTAATCAAATTACTTCTTGTATCAAAATTGGACAGACTGAGTTAAAAACAATTTATTTCTCCATCACCCCATTTAAAATTTGTCATCTTGCAGACATATTGTTTACAATTTCTGACAATCTTTTACTTCTGTGAATTAGAAATTTCACTGAGTTACCACCACAGACAAGACTTGACACTTAAAAAGGTACACATCAAGTCAACACAACATATTATACACATCAACATAAAGCAAAAGATAGGTTGCCTGGAAACAACACGTCCTACTCCAGCATATACAATAGCTTAATAAAGGATCAAGGACAATAACTCTGAATTGATGAATATCAAAAGTCTTTTTCACCTCACTGATGTAAACAATGCAGATCAACTTTGCGAGAGAGAATTGGGGTTTACTTCCACTCAACACAAACTAGGTCATTTAAGGGCTAATATATATATATATGGTTCAATTTTATTTCAATAATTTGCTTGCGCATAGGGGTCTTTAGCTGTGGGAGGAAACTGGCGGACCCGGAGAAAACGTACAAGGTTGGAAGGTGACCCTACTCCTTGTCACATACAACACAAAGAATCGAAACCCCACCAGTTGACTCAATGACAGACCTTATGATACAGCGTGCATGTGATAACAATTCGGCTATACCCTCCCCCCCCCCCCCCCCCCGCCGAGTTTGTAGTGTGTGTTCAATGTTGCAACACCCTTCCCCCGTTTTCGTATGTTACAGATTGTTGTTTTATGCTAAATCGAAAAAAAAACTACATTATGTTTGACTTTGACACAACCTACAAACAATTTAAGCACAGAATATTATAACATGACATCACCAGTGAGATTATTATAAGTAACAGAGCCTTGCACCACCAAGGAGATTAATACATGCGATAACAAACAGCAAGAGACTACAGACTGAAATAATACATGTCTGAAAAACAAAACCAAACATAATATTATCTTGGTAGTTCAAAACATGGAGGATTTGAGAATTAAGTTAAATTTGTCTGTTTTTGAAAGGATCTTTTCAGTATGGTCTGAACACCAGATGGATGACTCTTCTAATGTCGAAGGTTTACAGATACACATAGAGCTGGGGGATATCTCTTGGAAACAGATATCGCGATATTATAAAATGACAGTACTTTTAAATGTAAATAAACATGCAAGATAATCAGTCTACTGGGACTATTAATATAGTTGGCATTATACTATATTACTGCTTTCTTAAATCAATGATTCCTTTGGAAAATCAAAGTATCGGTATAAACAATTCGTTAAGATGCATAGAAATTGAACAGAAGCAGGAATAATTCTAACTGTATTGGTCGGGTGGAAATGTGAGCAAGAAGTTGAAGAAGTCATGTGACATAAACAAAGCTCCTTATATCGGCATTTGCAAACTTCGTTGAATGAATACTCAGGAGTTTATGACAGTATTTATTCATCATTAAGCAACAAAGTATCGTAAATAACATAAAAAAAAGAAAACATTTTTTCAATATCTATTTTAAATATCACACAGAAAAATCAAAACCGCGATATATCGCGTTATGTTCGGTTTTTTTTTATATCTTTCTGAAGACGGTATTTTTGACGGTTTTTATTTCTGCGACATTTTTATATCAAAATACTGAAATATCGCCCAGCTCTAGATACACAGTTGATTTAACAAGTCAGATTCTGGATCTTGAATAAACTTGTTACAAGTTACGATCATGAACAATTGATTCTGAGCACAAATGAACTGTCCACTAGAAGAGAAGGGAAGAAAGGGGAGATTACCCCCACCAATAAAACATGAACATGCTCAGATTTTAACCCCCCAAAAAAGAAAGCAATCACAATTCCCTGAATGAAAACCAAGAATTAATTTTTGCAGAGAAATACAAGTTGAATATTTCTTGCTGCCGACCTCTGGTCACTGCCTTTATATAATCGATGGTGTGTGCAGGCCCAAAATCTGTAGACAGATGGATGTCTGCCTATAGCTTGGTGTGTGCAGGCCATAAGTCTATGGATGTCAGCCTACACCATGTAAAGTCCCAAAGTCTATAGATGTCTGCCTACATCATGGTATATAAAGGCTCTATAAGACTGTAGATCGATGGATGTCTGCCTACATCATGGTATGTAAAGGCTCTATAAGAATGTAGATGGATGGATATCTGCCTACATCATGGTATGTAAAGGCTCTATAAGACTGTAGACTGATGGATGTCTGCCTACACCATGGCATGTAAAGGCTCTATAAGACTGTAGATCGATGGATGTCTGCCTACATCATGGTATGTAAAGGCTCTATAAGACTGTAGATTGATGGATGTCTGCCTACATCATGGTATGTAAAGGCTCTATAAGACTGTAGATTGATGGATGTCTGCCTACATCATGGTATGTAAAGGCTCTATAAGACTGTAGACTGATGGATGTCTGCCTACACCATGGTATGTAAAGGCTCTATAAGACTGTAGATCGATGGATGTCTGCCTACATCATGTAAAGGCTCTATAAGACTATACATCGACGATGTCTACGTACACCATGGTATGTAAAGGCTTTATAAGACTGTACATCGATGGATGTCTGCCTACATCATGGTATATAAAGGCTCTATAAGACTGTAGATAGATGGATGTCTGCCTGCACCATGGTATATAAAGGTCCTAAGTCTGTAGATAAGTTTATACTAATAAGGTGAAGTTTGGCCTATGTTTGTAACCATTTAGGATGCCTGAATTTAGACAACAGATAACTCTGTCACTTCTTCTTTGGCCTTGAAATACCTGACAAAATGTTCACCCTATTGAACTAGTATGTGATATTTTTAACTTTGTGTCGGACAATAAAAACAATGAAAAGAAACAAATCGGTGCCCCAAAAAATGACAGGCACCAGGATCAGTGTCTAAGTCTCGTTCATTCCCCAAGTTTTATGTTTACTTCCACCTGGGGTACTAAGTCAAGAAGTACATACCTTAAATACAGAAAGGGATGAGTGTGTTTTGGTAAGTAAGCCTGGTAAACTGTGTCTATAGCTTTTCTCAATGAAGATGAATCAACCAATCTGTCTGTAAATAGATCAAACATCTGATAAATTTAAATATTAATGGTAGTTTTAAATAATATAGTAGGCCTACACCCCACCCTCGTACGTACTTGTGATATAATCATTTGCAATATTTTTCATAACTACTCTGTAGTGGTTTACAGGTTTGGGGGAGGTAGAGGAAGATAGTAATAATCGTCCCTGACATTCAGGTAAGGCTGTCCACTTACAATCTATTTCACTGTCTACACTCTCTAAAACATAGAATAAAGTAATTTGAAATTTTCAATATATTCATTATTCATTATGAAGACAGCAAGAACGACCAGCTCTTTATCTAAATGTTACATAATGCATCTTTGATCTTACCGGGAAAAGATGGTCTTCTGATATCCAATATTTAAGACAAAAAAAACATTTTACAATTGGTACACGAATCGCGTACCATAACACGTTTCAGCGCTATTTGTAATAAGGGACTCAAAAAACGAGGCTAGTCATATTCCACAAGTCATGTCAAACGGTGAAGCTATATGCTTTTCTGGAGAGCATGCCCAATAATTACTATCGGCGTAGGCTGAAATAACCAGACGCTAGAGATTGAAATTCGATTGAGAATACTGGTGTATTTCGCTGAACCTAACTGATTAGAAATTACAGTAAAAACAGAAATGATTGAATGTAAATCAATTTATGTACATTAATATTGCATTATTGTATGCGTTGCGACCCATTTGTGTCAATTTCTAGGTCCCAAATATTAGCGACTTAGCTCCTTTAAACTATTGTTAAATGGCCACTTCTTGATCTAAATCTTATTTTACATAATTCATCTTAAGCAGTGTTAGAAAATCCTGTGTATGATATGGGGAGGTCACTATGACACACTTACTATATAAGATTCATTTCTGGCCAATGATTTCTGTCACCAGTTGACACTTAGGAGCAAATTATCGGAAGGAATTGAAGCCCGTGATGGGAAAAGATGATAAGAAAATTACAGAAGAGTCATTATTCATGGTTGTCTAAAAAATGACAAACAAAAAATGATCAGTTATCTCAAAAAATGAGACATGTCATCTAGTATTCGCACAAAACTCCATGGAATAAATGGATAATAATCAATCAGGTTTCTGAAATCTTGTTCAAATATGCATCAATCAACTAAAAAATTTCTAATTAACAAAAAAAAACCACAACTGCTATAATTAATAGGTTGATGTGTGTGTACAAGTTTTGCAAAGTTATCTTAAGTTGTTCCACAGATAATTAGCGCTAATTTACATTCATAAAACTTCCGTTCCTGTGGAAATCTTGTTATCGTAACTTTAATTTAGTGAGTGACCTTGAGATTCAACAGCCATTATTAAAGACTTTTACAAAATTCTCAGACAAACTTCCTTGTTCACAGGAAATCTAATTGAACATAAAATAATTACATTAACTGTCGTATGAAGTAACTATTAACTAGCCAATCAAATGGACCCAGACAAATATATACGTGTAGGGAATTAAAAACATATTTACATATTTCTTAATACCGTATTTACTCAAAAAAAGTACAATATGAACATGAATATATGAATGATATATTTTGTTTATCTAAGATATTTCTTTTCAAAGAATGACAATATAAACCGTGTTCCAGGAGTTGCAAAATGTTTCCAGGCTTAATTACGCTACTTAAACTTAAAGTAGCTAAGTCTCTAACTCAATATCATCAAAAATCTTCGACATTGAAAACACAAATTATTTGTCAATTCAAATCAACATTGGTCTTGTGATCTTACAGGAAAAAGATGGGCTTCTGATATCCAATATTCAAGACAAAATAAACATTTTACCATTGGTACACGAATCGTGTACCACAATGCGTTTCAGCGCAATTTGGAACAAGGGACTCAAAGAACAGGGCTAGACATATTCCACAAGTCATGTCAAATGGTGACGCTATATTCTTATCTGGAGAGCATGCGCAATAAATACCATCGATGTAGACTGGAAAAACCAGACGCTAAAGATTGCCATTCACATGAGACTTCTGGCGTATTTCGCCAAACATAACTGATTAGAAATTATAGTAAAAACAGAAACGATTGAATGCAAATCAGT